CTATTCGGCTTTTATTTTGGTTACCGAGATTGTTCGGGAACAAGTTCAGTAGGCATTTCAACCGGAGACTTTTGTTAGTGAAGCGGCATCTGACGAACCGAGGGTGGCATACGCCGCAATGGCTGCCTGTCAGAAGCAGACATCAACTCGAGGGGACACCCCAACGCCACAGTATTCCCGACGTTGGGAAGAACTTGGAACTAATAAGAAACCAGCACTCACAGAACACATTGGAACCAACAGGACACACGGAGTCACTCTCACTGTAGTGTTTACTACACACGCAAGAGGTTCTCGAATTTCACTTTACTATTTTCAATTTGGTGAGACATTCCTTTCTCAGTCTGATTTTGTCCGAATCATAATAACAGAAATACACCCTGTTTGCCGTGGTAGATGTTGCAGAGGGGTAAAGCGCTGGATATTCTATTTTCATAATCCAGCCTTTTGTGATTAAAACAAGGACACCGACTTCACATAACAGAAAAAACAACTTTAATAGACGTTTCACTTCCCATACAGGGGGCACCATCAGGTCATACACAGAAATGTGAAAGTATAGTCAGTGCAGCCCTATTTATTGGGAATGCCCATGTATCAGAGGTGGAACGGCTGCGCCATTTTGCGCCAGGCGCATTTGTCTGCGCCATCCTGCACCTTGTTGCAGAAACTGCACCACAGCCTCGCGCCATTATGCGCCAAATTGCAAAACGTGCGCCAAAAAAGTTGTATTTTGACTTGGTTTCGGTTTATATCAACTTGACTGTCAACTATGAGCGCGTTTAGCTTGGTCGGCCTTGCAATCCTGTGTTCTGTCTATTCTCCCTGTGTATCCCGAGTCAGAAGCGCGCGAAAAAAGTGGGGTCGGATTCCAAGCGCTACATTATTTGCGTCTGGGTTGTTATTCTTCAACCATATATAAGCGGTTAATCAAGTCGGCCGAGGTGAGGTCGAGTCGTTAAGCGTCAGATTGCCTGAGGCTCTGCGGCCCAGGATGCGGACGTCAACCAGTTGAAAACAAATAAACAAAAGATTCCTTTTAGTACTTCATTGTTAGAAGTTGGAACCGCATTCACGCAAGGTGAATGGTGATTTGATAGAACTGCAACGCGGTCTGATCTGAAACCTTGCCGGGCAGCAGCACTCAAGTGAGCGGTAGACCTCCTCGGCGTACATTAACCTTGCTACTGCTTATCACTTCGAATACGATAACTCCGTTAATCGTAGTCTGCTGCTACGATATTGAGTTGCACAATAGTATTAACTCGAAATTGGTTGCCCCTGTTCCTCCGCGCAACTGCACGTACGTTGCTTACGCACGTCACATGGTTCGCACATATAATTACTATGTTGAGCACGGGGGGGGTTGTGCGATAAGCAGTGCTAGTTTGCATTTTGAGCAGCTGAAAGCCACTCAGAAACAATCAAGACACTATCTTCAGAAACCTATGGTACCTGCTTTTTGGTTCTCATTAAGGCTCACAAAGTGTTTTCTCATCTGTTACACTGTTATCCCATCTACCTAGGTCCCTAACCCCTCATGTTCATCTGTGCTGCTAAGCACAATTGAAATTGCTCCTGTGCTTGTCTAACACACAAGCTGAAGTGCAATGAAAACTGATCTGAGCTGCTCCTAGCATGCTCCAGAATGCAGTTTTAGCTGCTCCCAACCTGCTCCAAAACAGCTGTTTCAGGTGCCCCCGTGGCTGCTCCCAAGTACATTTCATGAGTTCCACCCCTGATGTATGCTTCCAGGAGGAAGCTACGGTTCTTGTTGCATCACCTCGGATAAACCATGACTGAAGCAGCTTGCGTGGGCCCCACCTATCTTCCTTTGCCAGGGTTGTCGTGGACTAAAGTTGAAAGTCTGTCCTGTAGTCCTGTGTCCTCTACTGGAGTAGAGAACAGCACACCACCATCTCAGCGCTTTGACACCTCAGCGCCAAAAGTGTTTGTTAGTTCGACTGGTAGTGTAACGGTTTCAAGTTTTGGTAAAATGTCCTACCACAAATTTCACTTCAGCAAACAAACACAACACGTGAAACAGGCCTTTGTGCGCATTATCCCAACAGCGCATGAAGCGAGCCGAAGAGCCGAGGGATCCAAGATCTGTGCGGTCTGTCCCAGTCTGTCCTACCCGTGACGTCACAGCGATGGTGGTAGCTAGAGAAGCACCCCCCGTAGGTTGCACACGCTGCCAATAGAAGAGTGAACATATTGTTTTCTATGTGTTAGCTACAAATTTAAACATGTTAGCACGGAAACCACGACATTAAAATATTTGTAGTAGGATGTTGCGGTTTAAACACGTGTCTTTTGGAACCTGCATGAAGCCTTGAATCTATAAATGTGTGAAAAATGTTGCTCCAACCAAATTTGGAAAGGAAACCCGACGTTTTGAAACCAGCTTGGTTTCTTTCTCAAGGGTGACTGAAAGCCCATGGAGCAGCAGCAGCAGCTTCTAACCTCTTTGTCTTCAAGAAAGATATGTAAAAAATGTAAAAGTTGAAGAATCATCTTTTTAGTTATGGGGACGGTCATCTCTTCAGCTTTCTCGTCAGGTCACAGAGGCCATGTGCGTACACAGAGGGTAAGGCACCCGGGACCTTTTTAAGTTTCCTGGTACATGCGGGATTTGCCACGACTTCAAGAAAAGTCTTCGGATATTTGGCTCTGTGTCAACCACGTGCGTGTTTGCGAAGTCAATGCGATGGTCTAGGGCAGGGGTGGCCAAGCTGTGGCTCGAGAGCCGCATGCGGCTCTTCATATGTTAATGTGCGGCTCGCGGCTCCCTCCCCTAGCCCCCTTCCCCCCCGCACTTCTCCAAAAAGAGAAATGGAACATGTTTTAAATCGAAAGACAGGTTGCGGATTGGTAGTCTTCTGCTACTGCTACCTTACGTACAGTTGGACTGCGTTGGATAGATTGAAAGTAGTTTGAGAGTCATTCATTGCTCTGAACAGAAGTTTGCACCCCCCTTTCCTCCCTCAGCTCTTGGAAGTTTCGTGGTTTTGTTTGCGGCGCTTAGGCCAGGTCAGCCTGGCCACCCCTGGTCTAGGGTATCGCAATGTTTGGTGATGGCAATGCACTCACCGTCCAACTTCTGCACGTCGTTCTTGCATTGGCGGATTCGCTCGGGAAAGTTCTCGGTCTCGCCGATGTAGGTTGCGAGGCACTCTGTGCATGGATTGGTGTAAACCATGCCCTGTGCTCTATCTTTTGATAGGCAATCTTAGGGTCTTGGCACGAACCCTTCTAGTGTAAATGCGGGCTTGTGGGTCACCAGAATTCCTTATTTCCCAGTACAATGCTTCGCTGGTCCCTTTTACGTGGGGGATGCTGATGCGCTTGACTCAATAGTCTTCTTTCTAGTTGCTTCTGGTTTTGTCTGGTGAGACCTTGATGTCAGGTGTTCAGTGAAGCTACCCGTGTAGTCATTTTCCTTTACGTCTGCAATTAGGGTCTCCTTCTTTTTATCCGTTTCCGACGAGCAGATAGTCATTGTCCTATTCAGGAGTGTCAAAACCACTGACGCCTTATGATTCGTTGGTTGGTTGGAGTCAAAATTTCCATAACTAAAGGAATGATTTTCAATTTTTACAGTTTTTTAATTTCTTTTTAGAGCGCAGCTCTTAGGCGCCCGCTTCCGGCTTGAGCGGCGTCGCCGTCAGCGTAATTGCGCAGTGCATTATGGGCAGATTTACCCGCTAAATTTAGCGGGAAAATTTCTCCGCTAATTTTAGCAGGAAAATTTCTCCGCTAATTTTAGCGGAAAGATTTCCCCGCTAAATTTAGCGGAAAGATTTCCCTGCTTAATTTAGCTGAAGAAATTCCCCGCTAAATTTAGCGGAAAAATTTCCCCACTAAATTTAACGGAAAATTTTACCCGCTAAATTTATCAAAAAAATTTCCCCGCTAAATTTAGCGGAAAATTTTACTCTAAGTGGGGGGCGAGCAGGAGAGGAGGAGGGGCATAGCGTCCTCTCCATACCTTCCCCTCCTCCTCCTCAAGAGCTGCGCTCTAATTTGGTGTTACAGGGGATTGTAAACATCGTTCTTTTTTTTTTTTGAAGACTGGCTAGAAGCTGCTTTTGCTCCACTTGCTTTCCCTTGAAGAAGAAACCGAGCTGGTTTCGAAACGTCGTTTTCTTTCGAGCTTTGGTTGGAGCTACATTTTTCGGACTCTCACCCCACCAGGTAGATTTCTGTGGAATATGTTTACTTTCAAGACATAATCACCTCTCTCACACAGCTCCAAAATTCCATTGGTTTATTGAATCAGAAGAGAAATTTTGCGAGGTTTTCCCTTTCCTATAAAAGTTTTCATAGCTCATCTAAATTTTCTTAAGATCATATCCTACCAACTGCTTGCATTTACCTCATGATCACCCTAAAAGTGTTTACATTATTTTTGCTGAAATTAAATTTTCCCCACTTGTTTTGGCCATGACTGACTGGAATGAGTTCGCCAGTGAAATAGCTTTGGCCAGAAATCACAATAAGTCCATGTCACTTCTGGCTAATTCACATTGACTCACCATTTGTAAAAATGTTTATCTCTCGCTTATATTTGTGGTTTCTCTGTTGTGCATTTTTTCAAAGTGTTGTGCATTTTTTCAAAGTGTGTGCATGGTTACCTGTGATTATTTATTGTGAATTTCGTTTGATATTCACTTTGGAGTGATCCTTTTTTCTTTCCTTTTCTGGTGTATTGATAGATTTTGTATAATTATTCGAATGATTCTTACAATACCCTCTATTTAATGCCCCACTGGGGCCTTTAGAAGTACTTCAGTAAATAAATAAAATAGATTTCTGTGGTATAAACATTCGTTTTGGGGTGACTGTTTAGTAAAACTAGGCAAATCCTTTCATAATCTGTTACGAAGTATACTTCATCATCAACCTTGCATCGAAAAATGATCCTTGGCACTGCTGTTCTGGCCGTTTTAGTTGTGACGAAACGTTTGGAAACGCCCCCGCTTGGCTTTCTGTTTCAGATGATGATGAGGATGCAGTCGTCTACCGCATTTCGTAAGTAAAAAACTTAATCGTTGCACACTTTGCACCATGAATGTGATATACAAGGTCTAGGCTTTACAGACTTGTTTCAATAAAAGCTGTGAAAGCAGCTACACTAGTGCAGTCTGTGAAGGTGAGTGATATGGCCAGGTGGATATAACAGCAAAATGATTTAATATTTGCTAATTAACTTTGTAACAATAAACAGTTTGTTCCAATTAGAAACTCGCTGACCATCATGAATAACCACTGAATAATTGACAACAATTTCGGATGCATGTACTGAAGTTACCACTGGTGCCTGGGCACAAAGCCGGTGGTGTGAAAAAGCTATAATAAGAAAACCGCTTGGACACATTTTCATTTCCCCCACTTTGTGCCTGCCACATGAGTGGTAACTGTGGCGCACTATACCCTTCTCACACGCTCCTAATATTTCTCAATTTTAATTGGTTTTCGATGATGCTTGGCAAGTTTTTAATTGGAACCATGTTTATTTTTCCTAATTATTAAAAAGTAATGAACGAATTTTAGGTAGTTATTTGATTTATCGTGACAACATACACCCTATATTATTTCCCCCCTGGCCATATAACTCGCCTCCACAGACCTCATTAGTGTGGCTTCGACCGCTTCTTTTAAACAAATCTGTAAAGCCTGAAAAAAAGAAAACGGCCTGTATATAGTATATGGGCATTTTCGCATCGACCCATGCACGGTTTTGGGGTCAAATATTTAATTGTGACCAGAAGGATATTTTTGGTCTTGAAATGAACGAGAAAGCAAATGACAAAGTTGGCAAATTTTTTTGTTTTCGAGTATTTGACCATTGAAGTGGTCGAGGAGAAAACTGACATTTCTCCCACCGGCTGGGGATCGGATGGGGACCGCTCGCTATTTTCTCATTTCTCAGAATAAAGTGCAGGAACCCCTTTGTAACACTCTTGAAATAGATTTTATTAGTCATAAAAAATAAAAATATAGAATATATTTCTAATATTCCAACTTAACCCGAGGCTGGGGTATGAAATAGAAACTTAAACATAGACGGGACACAAACAGGGAACAAGAGACGCCTCAAACGCAGCTAAAAGATTGATTCAGTCCCACCTCGTTATTTACACAAGGTCACCAAGCACACAACTTGCCCTTTGCTAGGACACTATACACCAAGACGCACAAGGGAACAACCAGAACACGACAAAGGGATGCCCCCTCAATGAACAAAAAGATGGTAGCCAGGACAAACCTAACTGAACTTAGGCTAACCTTCCACTTTTACAAAAGAAAAAAGCTTTCTGCTTTGTAGAGCATCTGACACGACATCCACAAACAACATTGATCCCAATGTTAATACGGATACCAACACCCTAAAGAGAAGCTTAAAAAAACTGAAAAGAAACCTTATTTAATTCTACCAATCCGCAACACCAACCTCAAAAAAGTAGACACTTCTGGACTCGCTCTAACAAAGTGCTGTCATGCTTCCCTTTAAAAAAAAAGAAAATAACACAGATACAAACATGCAAAATTGTTTACAGTCTCAAAAATGCTTTGGCATTGTTCTCCAGCTGCAGAGATGCCTGACTAATACAGTTACCTATTGATTTTATTCGAATAGTTTCCCTTACCAGTCTTTTACTGTCATTCACTTCTCTGGGTATTGTTTCAGTTACTGACCACAAAGCAGCGCAATTATTACAATCATTCATGCGTAACAATTTAGAGTTGAGCGTGTTCAAGTGCAATTCTTTCTTTCTTCGTGTTCAAGTATAATTCTAAATTTCAAGCTAATATGTTTACATTCATGTGCTTCGCTATTTCCGAACTGGTTGCGTTAATCCTTACGTTTTTTTTGTGTTCTGTCAATCTATCATTAACACACTTCGAAGTTTGGCCTACGTATGCAAAACCACATCCCATCGGAATATCATACACTACTACACTACTCTTGCAAGGGATCAATTTCTTACAGTGAGCTTTTCTACATTCATGCACTCCCGTTTCCAAAGGAGTTTGTCTACTCAACTTGAAATCAGAACGAAAAATAGTTTCCACTTCAAACTGCGCATTACCTGAAGGCCCATGCCTTCAGGCAATGCGAAATTCTATGAAAATACAGGATTGCAGCCGTCTGTCTTTCTTTTCTTTTTTCTTCTTGGTGTATGAATTTAAATGCTTTATAACGAATTCGCCTTCATACCTTGCCCTGCCTAGTCTTTTCCATTGACCTTCCAATGACTTTGAGGTAAAATGCATGCACGACCGGTCTAGAGCATTTTTGATCAAAGACCTTACAACTCCCGCTTTCACCATTTTCGAATAACAGCTCATTTTTGCCAGTACCGGTTTGGGGTTTTCTTTGCCGTACTCCCAGCAGAGACCTTCCTCAGTGTGAATTCGCAGATCCAAGAATTGTAATACTCCATTCTCCAGTTTCTTCATAGTGAAGCACAGTTCCAGAGCTGCTGACTATCAATTGCTCGAGACCGTCAGACATACCATCCTGGAAAGTGCACACGAAAATATGGTTCACATATCTCCTGAGAATACATGTGTCCGCTTCAAACACAACAGAATCCAACGAATTCAACCACCAGTCGGAGTCCAAGCGCCATAGGCGGGGCACAGCTATCAGTACTTGCAAACGATTTGTCCTTTTTGACTGACCTGATACTGAAGGATAGATAGATGGCTCGGTCATCGCGAAACGTGTGTACCACCGAATGGGACGGTCGGCGCTCGTCCACACTCCTGACACCGGCCTTCGTTTCTGTCTGGCCTTCCCAAAAGATAGTCGTACAGTAGACATGCGACTGTGCAGCCTCTGGATGTGCCACTTCAGCCTGGCAGTGTCCCTCGGGGCGGCCCTGCTGCTGCCAGTGTCCATTGTCAGCAACGAGGTTCTGCTGCTCTACCCAACCAGCTTCTACATCCAGTGGCTCAACAGTTCCCTCATCCACGGTGAGCTCGCAAAGCCCCGCCTAAGGATTGGGGCATTGGCCCACAGTTGGGCTATGGACGAATCCACTGGCGCGTTGGGCGTGCAAAGAGCTTTTATTCCACGTTTTCCTGAAATTCACGGTTAAGGTGATTTTTGGTGAAATGAGAATACAGTGCAATCCACTTACTATGTACTGTTTATAACGATCCCTTTCTAGTCCAGCAATGATCGGTTATAATGATTATATTTTTAAAAATTATTATTATCGTTATAAGTGGATTGAGTCGTCATTGCGAGCGGGACGAAAAGGGGTGCTAAAGAAAAATAGAAAACTGGAAAACTGGAAGTGATCCATCAGCAGTGGAAGCTAACGAGTTTGTTAACAAATGCATCGGTAGGCTTATGCATTTACTGTTATTAGTGATTGCGGCGGTGAAGAAGGTTGCCAACTATAAGAGACGCCCGCTGATCTCTATAATGATTTTCTGGGTTGTGCATTGCCTGTTGGTCGGTGCAGTGTGAATGCGGGCACCGGAAGTTCTGCATCGGCCATCTTTCCACATCACGCAAGGAAGCGTTGTAGAGGCTGGATAACTGCATGTTCAAGCGCACAATTTTTGCTTAATTGCCGTTGTGCAAATGGTCATAGCTGTCTTTGAGGACCCAGAGAAAATTTGGAGAAAGCAGCAGAGAAAGGCAGCACAGCTTGCTTGGAGAACATATAGGCCTCTTCCTCCATGTTCTGTGTGCTGTTTTATCATGTTTATAGAGAAACCACAATATGTTTTAAAATTTTCAACACAGTTTTGAAAATCTTTAATCTCCAGATTTAAAACACATTGGACAAAGGTATAAAACGGTAAATAATAAGTCTCTGGAACTCGGTTGTAGCACTCTGTTGTGCCTCATTGAGCGCATTTATCGTTACATTAAGACCAGCTAAAAATGAGGTGCACTTAATCTCGTTAGATACTTTGCAGATTAGAGTCAGATCCCACTAATGTGTAGAGACTCCAGCTGCCTTTCTTCCATGGAGCGTGGCACCAGAAGTGAATCCTGTGGGACGTTGCGCGGATTAGATTGGGTGGGTGGCGGTTCGGAACATCAACTCAGATATTTTGCCAGAAATATGGGTGATTTCTCGTGGAGGGCATTTGCACCAGGGTAGACTCTCTTGAAATTCTAGGTACAAGTAGTAAAGTAAAGGGTAATGGTGCAACTAGCCACAAAAGGGTATTGGGAAAGCCAGGTGTGTTGCTTCCGGTCGAAGACACAAACGAGGCAGAAGCCCGTGAGTTACCCCAACGGGTCCGTCGTTGCAGGTCTCTGGAACGAGATCTTCCTCTTCTCCAACGTGTCCATCTTCATCCTGCTCCCTTTCGCCTACCTCTTCACCGAGTCCGAGGGGCTCCCAGGATCCCGCAAGGTGAGCCGCAGCCCCCAGGCGCTCAATGCTGGCTCCTTGTCCAGACGCTGGTGCTCTCGGTGGGGCCGCCCAAGGGTGCACATTTGCAGTCGGCTCCGATGGATGGAGGGATAAGGCTGAAACTTTCGAACCGGGCAACGACTTGTGTTTTTTTTCGTAACATTTATTTAACATGGAGTTATTTATTTAAGAGATTTATTTGTAAAAGCTATATACAATCCATACTAGGGAGGCGCCTGTATGCAACCGGGTGCCCACACCTTCCGCCTTACGGGTCGCCCTGAAGGGAACAAGAAAATATTCATCCTTCCCTCGACCTATACCATTTGTCAGATAATCTCTTCTTGGTCCAGCTTCCCCGTGTCTATCTTTATCTCACTATCCTCCCAGTGTGTTTGTTAAATTGGCCGCCTCTCCCGCTACTACAGGGTGAAGTGCCTTACAGTAGAGTATCAAGTGCTTAACCGTATTTTCTCCAGGAGCTCCCCACACCGTATCTACTTCCTGATATCTATATGTCTTAGTCCACAACACTCCCGTCCTTGCCTCGAACAACAAGGAGCTCCCCCTAGAATTGTCTAAGAATAGGAATGTCCTTCTTAGTCGATCTGTATAAATTTCCAAGGCTGATTTAGTCTGCATGCCTGCTTCCCATATTTCCCTCTCAATTTCTTTTAGTCTCTTTTTAACCTTTATTTTCTCATGCGCCTCCCTGCTGTTGCCCATACATTTGGATCTAAGTTTTCTAGTTTGCTCTCTCCATTTTGTATCGACGCTTCTCCCGCGGACTAAGTAGCTAAGAACTTTTGGTGCCCATCATTGCACATATATTTCTCTCGGCCTATTCTCAAATTCTATCCTACCGCTCGCTTCTTTGCCCTCGAATGAGGACAGTGATAGTTTCATCAACTTGGCCTCCTTCGCCGATCAGGCTCATTGTCTCTTGGCGGGACTGTTGTTTGGATCTGCCGGCTCCTCAAAGCAACTCGCCACGCTGAGGTTGGAGTTTTCCATGTTTATTCGTTCCCCTCTCCTCCCCTGCAGCTCATGTGCGTGGCTTTTAAAGATTCCTGGAACAAAGCGATTACATTGTTGGCCAATACTACTAAGACATACTCTTTTCCATCCACGCCGATCGGTGCCCCAGTGTAGTTCCCAATCACCAGTTTGGAAACACTCTTTCCTTTGCAGAGGGTTGATTAGGATCCGGGACGCTGCGTCGGAGCCACTTGCCAGCTGAGGCTTGTAGCTGCAAGCAGCACAACGCACAAAACATTTCTCGCTGCTTTATGGTCAGGTGACTCCCGTCAAAACTATGTACGAGGAGACTGGCAGCACTGTGCTCAAACCGACAATGCTGATGCTTTCCCCTTCACGTGGCAGTTAGGTTAACCCCTGCCATAGACACAGTATAGCTTTGAACCTGCTACAGTTGATACGCAATTGCTGAGAGCGTCTCAAGTAAGGTTGTGTTTGTGAGGTGCATTACGAAAATGAACCGGCTAAATTTTGAACAACGTGCCATCAAATTTTGTGTAAAGCTTGGCGAATCCGCTACTGTGATTTCTGAAAAGTTACAAATGGCTTATGGAGAACATTTCTTATCCAGAGCACAAGTGTTCAAATGACACAAGGTCTTTTTTAGAGAGCCTAGAAGAAGTGGAAGACGAACCTCGTGCGGGAAGACTCGAATCTCAAAAACACGGCAGCATGGAAAGAGTGAGGCTTCTTGTGGTGTCATACCGTCGATTGATGCTAAGAATGATCAGTAGTGAGTTAAATTTGAACCGGTTTATTGTCTGTCAGATTTGAATGCAGGAAAGTCCTTGAAAGGCTCGACCAGCCATTGCACGCATTTGGATGCTGCACCATGACAGCACCAAAAATCACGCGACCATCTCCACCAAAAATTTTTTGCCAGAAAAAGGCATTTCTGTGATTCCCCAGCCACCCTTTTTGCCTGATCTCAGTCCTTGTGACTTATTTTTATTTCCCTGGTCCAAAAACCACTTGAAAGGGCACCGTTTTGTAACTTTGAATAATATCCAGAAGAGCCGAAAGGCGTTCCAGCAGAAGCCTTCCAGCACTGCTAGGAGCAGCGTAAACAATGTCTGCCCAAGGGAACTACTTTGAAGGGCATAGCCTTGATTTGCAAAAGTAACAACATTGCTGGTTGAAAGAAAATCAGTTTCATTAGTTTTCCGCCACACCTCATACACACGGGGGCAGCTGCATGCTGGAGACCCAAACATGGGAGGCCACTTGCAGAGTCATGAACGCGCTTGCTCCCGCCAGTGCCCCTTAACCCGGGTCCCTTATCCCGGTGCGTACGGCTCAAACGGGGTCCAGGCTCGCAGGGTTCATGTTCGCTCCGCCGACGCAGATTCACGGCCATTCTCCTCTGTCTCGGTGCCAGACACCTTGCCTCTTGCGGGCGGTGACGGGGAACAGAGGCAACAGCAAACGAAACGGGTCCCGATAATGTCCTCACCAGGCCTCCTCAGTGTCACCATGTCCGCCTCGACCCCGTGGACGCCGCCACGAGACCTGTGTTGCGTCTCGCAAAAGGCCACAATGAAAACAACACACACAAAAAAAAAAGTTGTCTATCCAGCACAAGGGTTGCTTAAAAATACCAAGCTGCAAATCTAAAAACTGAATGCAATTCTGGTTTGCCATTTCACAAGCGAACTTTAAACCTCTTGAGTGAACATTAAACATGTCGATAATTTGTGAAGTGACATCAACTTCATTTGTCAATAATTTTTGAAGCAACATCAACTTCATTTCTCGATAATTCTTGAATCAACATCAACTTCATTTGTCAATAATTTTTGAAGCAACATCAACTTCATTTCTCGATAATTCTTAAATCAACATCAACTTCACCTGTCCCAGTCAAATCTCCTAAAACAACGAGAAAATTTGTCTACCTATCAGTATCGTATCGGTCTATGTATCATATCGTCTACAAATCGGTAGTGGAAAAATTTTCATGCTTGCCGAAAAGTGGGACGTGGTGCGATTTAGCATACTTATGTCCCTCTACGTTTAGTGTGTTCATGTGATACCATGGCCTCAGATGAAGTATTAGGTGACATTGTGATGTGACAATGTGATGTGAAACTGTGATTTCACACGGATGGAGCTTTTTCTAGCAAGCACACACCCTCTGCCCTGGCTTCCCGCCAGAGGGCATCCTCTCTGAACTTTCCAGAGCCCTATTGTGGGAAAGTCTGGCGAGTGGGTGTGGCTACGAAGGCGCTGGAGAGGAGAAAAGTGAATGAAAGGGATGAGAGCACCAAATGAGTGAGAGAGGAAGGAGGGAGCAAAGAATAGAGAACTGCCATTTTGATAACCACTTCACAGCGCACAAAAATAACACTGTAAAAATTGCATGCACACAAAGAAATAACTCTCATGCGGTGCAACACTACGTGAGAGTCATTTCTTTGTATGTAATTTTTGTGTGTATGTAATTTTTTTGGTTTTTTTTAGTGTGTGTAATTTCTTTGTGTGCATGTAATTTTTAATGTGTTGTTTTTGTGCACTGTGAAGTGTTAGCACGATTCAGCAACTCGTCCAAGCTAAAGTATTGACCAACGCCATTTTGACGCAACACCCTGTCGGTGCAGAACACTGTTGAGGCTACACGTCATCTGCTAAGGGCTTATTTCTTTTTCGCCTGAATTCGCCTGCATTCAAACATGGAGAGACTTCATTCGTTGGCTTTTGAAACCACTGAGGAATAACACTATATCATTTTCTTGCCAGAGCTTACCAAATAAAGAACCGAAATTTGGATGTTGATCCCTTGCATTCCACTGGCGAGTTAATGAAACCGGCGGCCCTCCCTGCTCAACTGGGAGCGGCTGGGAGCAGCCGAGAGTTCACGCGCTCACGCCTCCCATTCTGCGCTGCTGGCTGATTGGGTCACTCGGGAGGGGGGTGTTACGGCGGCAAGATCATAGACTGGCCAAACTCTCCCAATATCTAAATCTTTCCAAGGAAAAACTGCCGATTTTTGAACCAGTACTCTTTTTTTCCAAAAATGCTTCTAAAATTTGTTGTAGTATATCACAATGTAGCATAATAAATGCTTTTTCTGTCGATTTAGTATGAAATAGGAGTCTAATAAATTATACGAGATTTAATTTCTGAAATTCAAAATTATTGTGGCCAACGGAACAGCAATGAGAAAGATATACAGATATGTCGGGCGAAGAATGACAGCTGAAAAATTCCAAAATATGTCAGATTTGAATACTAACAAGATAAGCTGCAATTGCGATGCTTTAGATAAAAATGCATAAAGTTCTATCAGATAGTCTCAACGTGCCGTGCCACGAAGCATTTTGTGGATGTGGTAAAACGCAGGTTAATGTTGCAGGTACTGCAGAAGACCTTTGTCTCGTGTTCAACTTTACACTCCTCATAACGCATCTTGCAGTTGCGTAGCGTCTCAATTTTTGGAGGCTCGTGATGCAGTTGTTGGGGGGCAGGAGGGTGTCAGACATAGAGTTATTGAGTCGTCGGATATGGTTGGACACAATGTTTAAAAAGCTGTTGGGCAAGCTTTGTTTGGAATGCCAGCTGATGAAAACATGCCTTTCTGAAGAATTCTGGAATGTTTAAGCGCTGCTTCCCTTGTGCTTGAAAAAGAAGCGTAGCTATTGAGAGCTGAGATGCTAATGCAGCGAAAGAAGAGTGTCTTGTATGAACAGATACACTTGATCAGAATGTTGTCATTCTCTGATCCAATTTGTCAACTCTAAGCTTTCCTGCATTGTAGTCGTCAACGAGCTTCTTGATGGAGATGCGTGTATCTGGTCTTTCTTCTCTCCGTTTGGCAAGCACGTGCTTGTTGGCAGTATGTATGGTGCTCGTGTCTTTCCATTGAACAGATCCCGTAGTTACGGAAATCTGATGAGCCGACTGGTCTGTTTGCCATGTCAAGTAGTCCTTTGATTGATGATGTCGTACAAGTGTCATGGCGGCATGGCAGCATCGGTTATGGCAGGTTCTGCTGCAAGTCTCTCTCCAGGTTGCCAGTCCGTGAACAGCTAGGAGCTAAGCTTTTGGCCACAACTCCTAGGGTCAACCAGTGGTGAGGAGATTCGTTGCCACTTAAGGACCAATTGGAGACGCATTCCAAGCACCAACATAATCTTACCACTCATGCAAACGAATCGCGAGACTCCAAAGACTTTGGAGGAGGCACGATGAAGATGCTATGTTAGCAACGTGGAGTGCTTCGGAGTGCTGTCTCCTCGGCCGAATCATAATGAATCACCATCTGGGAAGAAAAAAAAACAGCTAGTATAGGTGTACAGAAACTGAAACTTGAGCGTCTAATCTGACCACCAGATGCCGTAACTTGTCCAGAAAAGCGTCGGAAATTGTCGATCGCGGGGTATCGATTTTGAGCTGACATTGTTGGCACACGCCTTTGCACGCATTTCGTCTTTTATGGCGATTCTCTTTTTGTCAGTAGTATGGGGCAGAAGAGCAATAAAAGATGTTACAATGATACGATGCCATTGAGTTCCAACGTGTGGCCGGCCCCTTATTTGTAGTTTGCAGACAGCGCTCGTTATTCGAAAGCATGCGACATCATAGTTGTGTCACTTGGTGACGTCGCAGTTTCCCCTCTGTACCAAAGTGAAGACCTTCATTCTTTCTGGACTCCTCAATAAAGAATATTATTATTATACTAAATTTAGTGGAAAGCGTTTCCTTGACACTGCAACGCCATGTGAACCGAGACAGTCTCCTTGCCTTTGTGTTTGCACGTTGGCCAAAGATCTGAACAGCGTCGCAACTTGGTAGTACTCGTAAGCCTATTGTAGGAGCCGTATGCAACTTAATTTTTGAGTGATGGTAGAGAATGTGCGCGTGTGGATCTGAGGGCCCCAGTTTATTGGCAGGATGCGGCGAGGATGTTTTGTCGGGTGCTGCAGTGCGGCTGACCCTTCCTTGTGCCCAGGCATAGAGTTCATATATACTAACTCTAGAGGAAAAGGTCCACCATTTTCCCATGCATTCTGACTGCCGCAAGCGGTGGAGCATGCAGGCAGTCCTTTAGAGTCCCACACATGGTTGCCAACTGCCCTTGAATTCGGGAATATAATTATCATTAGAGCATTTTCATGAGCTTCATCAGTTCACATAGTTACCGGTTAAACAATATTGGCGTTCCTTTTGAAGCTTTATGTCATAGCGTGCAGGTGTACGGCATCGTGTCAATGCAAAACTAAACCAGATAAGCAGCTTCGTGCTATGGTTTTGAGAGGCGCTCCCCGGGAATGTGTAACCGCGTAACCACCAGATTTCCGAGATTTCAACACGAGGGAAGTTAATGCGGCCTAATGAGTATATTGCTTTGTATAGGCGTGGGAATAGCTCAGAGTTTATTTTACGATGTTAAATTATCACTGTTTATTTTGCTGAGAGTTTTCAATTTTCACGGTTACCATTGCGACTGTCGTCCTTCAGCTGGCAAAATTGGTTCCTTTCTCTCGTGTTCTGTTGCGCTCTTCTGCAATCTTTCACTCGGGACTCGAGATGTCGGCGCAGAGGATTTGCCACTCCTGCTCACCCGCCTTTACCCCTGTGCCCAGGGCCTGGTGTCCCGTCTGTACGAGACCTTCCTCGTCTTCTTGCTGGTGGCCGCCCTCCTGTTCGGCATGACCTTCCTCCTGTCGGCCATCTTGGACTACGGCAGGGCCAGCATCCACTCCCTCTTCGGTGGGTTGTCCGCTGCACACTTGCTTTCCTGGTCCCTCTCTGTCTCTTCTTGCCCACTTCCCTTGGCTCAGATTTCTAGGGGTCATAAAACACTCGCAAAGTTGCTAGGAAAGCTTTTATAGGTATTTGCAATTTCTACTTTTTTATTACGTGCGTTTTGAAAATTTGCTGGAGTATTTCGAGCGAGGTTTTTCTACTAGCATCAAACACCCCTATGATAAACTCCGTGGGACAGTCAAGAAAATATCTATGTAAACCGTCGCGAAGCGCTGTACCTGTGGGACGTAGGGATCATTTCTGCGCGGTTGCATTAATTAAGCTCTCTTAAATTAGGGAAGTTTCAGCTAAATCGGAACATGCTCGCCGTGGTGCAGACTGGCAAGAGAGGGTGGATGCTGCTTTGCTCCGGCCGAGGGTTGGAAACGAGCTGAGTTGGACCTTACCAAAGATGGACGCTCTCGTCAGACTGGCCAAATGAGGTTGCAGCTGCTTGCAAGGAAACTTGTCTCTCGATGAAAGAGCTTAATTTTGCCAGATTCTGGGTGCTCCGAGACCACTGACGTACACAAAAAAAAAAGAAAAAAGTATATAACCGTTTTTATCCGTTGCAACGCTTGACATATTGTTACATTCACTCGAATCCTACTTTTTTTGTTTTGCAGTTTGCCTGAAAATTTAGGTTCAGGTTTTTAGTGTAGTGTATGCCAAAAAGTTTGCCATGCGACAATACAGTCTAAGCTCATTATAACAGACCTGTTTACAACAGACATTTGGATATAACATACCGATTTGTGAAGTTCGGTTGGTTTTCCTTTATGCACCATTGACTCAACTTCATATCTGCATACAACATACTCCTTTTACAAGAGACCAAAATCTTGGTCAAAATCAAGGTCTGTTATAACGAGCTTAGACTTTATATCAACATAAAAATTGCAGCGACATGAAAAAACGCATATCATCAGCTTCTTCTTCTTACGCTATGATCTAAAATAAATCAAGCGGCCGTGCACAAGCAAACTAAAGTTACTGTATCTAGTCGTGTTGAAACGAAGCAAATACAGGAAAAAGAAAGCACCGTAATGAAAGGATGCGTCTGGGAGAGGAACGAAAACCTCCGAGACAGTTAATGGCTGTGTTGCATCACTTAAAGGATGCACACTAAGCAACAAATTGCATTCCAGACTGGGCACGCATTGTGTGGGCAGCTTGCGGCCGGGGTTACGGTGGCAGTGGCGCCATTGGTTTTGAACACCCTGCCCCTGGTGTCACTCTGGTGCAGGGATCGGCAATCTTTTGCTGCACGGGCCGGATGTAAATATAAAACAACTGTCACATACTGAACGTGATACAATCCTCTCTTGACACGTGCACACGTAACGTGAGATTACTGGAGGCCAGGATGATTTGGGGGCTTCAGTGTTGCTCGTCAAGATGGGAATTCAAATGAGAGTCGTAAAACACTTCAAAGCTGCCCATCTTTCATTTGCAGGACCCACGTGTTTATCTTGAAAAAGTATGTTTGCATTGCACATATGTCTGTGCTGTAGCAAACTCTTTGGTCGAGGCTGCTGCGAGATTTCCTAGATTTTAACACTTAAACTTAGAAAGTGGAAAACTTAAGCAAGTGGTTTGCTGCAAACGCATTGTTCAGCTCGTTAGCTGCGTTTCTACGGATGAAACTGTAGTGCAGCAAGTTGAGTTTTGACTTTTGGTTTTGGTTGGCAGTGATGGGTAGAAGAGAATGAATTAGGGAGGCAGGGTCCATGTCGATTGCATTTATGCTGCTTCATTGCGGGGATCAGTTGATGTCTGGCGAATCTCTTGAACTTTTTCAGAGTTAATACATCCGATTGTTTGCAACAAAACTCTTGTTTTAGAATATAGGCTCGGATCATTTTTACTGGCCTTCCGAGGGCCGCATATTAGTATCGCCTTGTGAGTTGCTGACCCCTGCTCTAGTGCAACCATTTACTTGGCTCACTTTGTGCCGAGAAAATTTGTAATAGAGCCCATTAAAACTTTGGTTTGGGCTAGTTGGTCCGTGGTAGGTATAAGGTTTAAAAGCGCAAACAGACGGGGACAATAGAAAATAACACAAACGACAGGGACAAGGCGCTTGTCCCTGTCGTTTGTGTTATTTTCTATTGTCCCTGCCTGTTTGCGCTTTTAAACCTTATACCTTGTAATAGAGGTCACTTATGCCCCGTGTATCCTATTAATACGACGGGAATATTCGTATCGCAGGAATTCCTTTTTCCTTTTAGTTATCATTAGAGACCTTATTCCACTCAGATAAAGGCCGACGACCAGTCTCGAGATTCTGCAAGGCAGAAGATCCTCCTCACCATGGGGGAGGAAAAAACAGGCAATGCTGGTCAGTGTAAAAGGGGGGGGGAGAGGAGAAAGCGAGGGAAAAGTAGAAAGCACAAACTGGTCATAGGTCTTTAAAGGGACATTTTTATTGCCGTTGGCCATAGAGGTGTTTGACTGTGCCAAAATGTCACAGTGTTTGGCTTGAGTTGATGTCTCTCGCATTTATTTTGCAGCTCTCTGGAGCGGATACCTGCCTTTCCTCTATTCGTGCCTTTCCTGCTTTGGGGTCATGCTTTTACTCAGTAAGCCTCGTCCGAGAATTCTTGCCCCTTGTTTTGGTGAACGTAGCCTCGACTGTTTGCACAACCCCTTAGCGACTGAGGTGGTGTATATTACAAAAGTTTTTGAATGCTCTGTCCAGTTGAATGTTGATTCGAAAATTGTCTCTTCAGAAACGTGGAAATATTTTGCTGCTGCAAAGCATTGCTTTGTTACTGGCAGTTTTACGGATTGCCTTTTCCCTTCCTGTAAGCTGCGTTCCGCCATGTTGATGAACATCTGCCAGATGCTTAGTTAGTGGCCTTGTTTTTGGTGTGGGCGAAATGCAGAAGCCAATGAAAGAACTTGGTATGTTTGATGGAGGACTGGCTGTACAAATCCGATTGCAATTTGTTTTGGACGGCATCTCTACGGGTCGACTTGTCGATTGCCGGCTCGCCTTGAGGCTGCTATGTTTCTTGGTGTGGCCGACTGCTCCAGCAGTCGATTGTGAGAAACTACGCCTTTTCTGGGGGGCAAACCATTGGCTCCCACACCTTGCAATCCCTGAGTGGGTTACTGCTCATGTTATCTTTCCAATTTCTTTTAATGCACTAGCATTAGTACCTACATGATAGAAGAAAGCTGACAGCGTCCGTCTGGGGACAAAACAGTGGCAAGGGAAGTGTGCCGCGTAGGGGGGAGGAGAGTAGTGAAGGGCAAAGGTGGAGAGGGAGGCGACGTCACGGGGCAGAAGTCAATGAGCGCGGGGATGCTGGAATGAGTCTGAACTTGCAGGTGTGCCTTGGTTTGTGCTACAAAATGGAGTGTGAACCCTGTACTAGCACTGGTCCCAGTGTGCGGCAAAAGAAGACTGACTGTGAATGAAATAGGCGGGGTGCTGAAACCAGTGAACAGCGAAAGCCGTTTCAGGCAGTGGATGCTGCTGCTAGGCATGCAAGGCGGGCAGATGAGAGCCCCCAAGGCCGGAAAAAATTAAACGAAGATCCATGCGGGGATCCTTAGGGAATGTGTGAGCATGACCTTTGGGAAACGCCACAAACGTTCCCCACTAACAAAGCCAAAAAGAGGAAGCAAAAGAGAAAGCCAAAACAGAAAAGTAAAGGGGTCAGCTTTAGCGTTTCCCAAAAGTGTTTGTTCAAACAAATTTTTTTGTATGCAAAACAAGGTTTAATTTGGTTATCTCCATCATTTTCCTTTGGCAAGCGTGTACTCCGACTTTGGGGTCGCTGAAATTGGGGAGGAAATACGTCAATGAAGTGAAGTGTCTTTCCCTCCTTTGTTTTACTTTGTAACGGACGTCCCCCAACTGGTCTGCTGCCGCGTCATTCAGGTGGGATGAGTGAAGTCCACATAGGGTATTTGTAGAGGTATTTTCGCCCCATAAAGTGGGGAGGGCAATGACTCGGGATATTACGGTAGTTTCATTGTTTTGTACAAGAAATGCTCATGAAATGATGCATTACTATCGCAAAGTTCGTTGTTTGCATACTAGTGATGAATAATACTGCTGATAACATCTTTAATAATTTTGCTCAGCGCTTGCTTCGTGAAAGCGCATTATGAAACCGCAATGTCCTAGGCTAAAAACAACCATTTAACGAGAAAAAAAGGGGCCAGAGAAAAGCGGACGAATGAAGTGACTAGGGAATCAATTGCAAGGTTTCCTTATTTTCTGCGTGTGCACGACAACAATGCATCTGCAGTGGGATGCTTGGCAGACGCTTGACTGCGGATTCGACTAAGAACATGGCCTCTAATGGCCAGCTTTTCATTGACCTTATTTCAGGTGGAGTTGCTTCCAGTTGGGAAAAATAAAAAGCTGAATTCTGTGACCTCCAACCTTTTTCTTTCGCACAAACGGCCTAAATTGGAGAGTATATCTGAACATTGAAGTTTTTTTCCCTCTTTCTTCGAACACATTTGAGGATTCTTTGAGGAAATTGCCACGAATGAGCGTCATAGCGAGTGAACGAGTGACACTCTGGGACTGTTACAGACGTTAGTGGTATATGAAGTCCACATGTCAGACCGTCCCAGGTTCGAGCCCCGGCGAGGCTCGAACCTGGGACGGTCTGATGCCAGTCGGATACTTAGCCATTGAGCTGTGTTGCACAGCTGGTCCGTCATGGGAAAGGATTTATTGCAATGCAAATGTGACAGGTTTTCCGTGGAAATAATCAAAATACAACAAATGAAAATAAATAAATGACAGAATAAAATTACAGATGAAATAAAATAAATTGAAGGAAAATATAGATGATAATGTAAAATGTAATCGGGCACATTGTGCGCTCCTTTGTCAGCATAATGGAGCCTGTATCGTTTCTCTTTGTCACGAAGACCCTCCAACATTAAAGTCCATAATCACCACATTCGGGAAGGGAGACAAGTGTTCGGGCCGGTGGGCTATTTGTAGGGGTGGGCGATGACTCTGAGTTTTTTTTGGAAATTGACATTTTGCTCAAAAAATGGGCTGGGCAATGACTCGGTGATGACTTTGGATATTACGGTACAGTACAGCCCACTTATAATGAATGCAGCGGGAATCTAAAATTGGTTCACTATATCCGTCTTTCGTTATATGTGGACTTTGAAAAATATAGAAGAAATCAGCTGCTTCAGTGTAAGGTGCATTCCGAAGTATTTGCTTGTCTGCGGCTGTATGTGCCACGTAAAGTCGCTCGTATCATTGTAGGTAAAATCTATTTTTGGGTCAGTAAATCTCGGTGTAGTCTCGTGTTTTCGTACCGTGACTTTTGACGAGGACGGCATTTGTTGTCGCGGCACCAGGCAGTGGCACGCCTCTGGCGAAAGAGTACTGTGGGGTCTCGGTCGCGACGCTTTTATGCTTTTCGACCAAGTTACTCTTGGAAAGCATATTGTGCGTTGCAACTAACTCATAATTTGTGGAGTGCTCGTGCACACACTCGCAGACTTCGCTCGAGTTTGCTCGTTTCTTGCACTTGGAGACATCTTGGGCATCTGACACTGATTGCAACAGCGATATTGTCGCGTGCACAATCGAGAAGATATGCTTCTGCGTTCATCTGGAAGATTCGCGTACACTCTTACCCCAAGTGTAAACAATAAGGAGGCCAGAGTGACCTTGTCTTGTCAGTCTCGCCCCTAGCTTTTTCCCGAACATTCTAGGTCAAATATTCGAGATGACGAGGAGAGTAAACAAAGAGCCAAGCGCCAAATTGCCGATTCATTCGCCGATTCTCTCTTGCAATAGCCAGCTGTTACGCCAACGTACCGTCGCCTGCCACCACCACCGTCGACGCTTGACGCTGCTTTCTCGACGCATGTTTTTTTTTTTGTTTATGGCACAAGCTCATCCCCAATAAATCTTTAGTTCATTCCGTTTTCTTCTGCCTTATCGTCTGTCATTCGTGACAACATTGAGGGACGTTGGAAGCTGTTCACTCGGACTTAATGCCAACCGGCGGCGACGAAACGTAAGACTCAGCCACAGAATAGTCCGTGCACAAAATTGTCGCGTTAGATGGGGCTTAGCCATCGCTGGTGACATTACATTGTCACACCTCCCATCGCGTCCTCGGGGATCCCATACTTTCCGACTGCCCAGCACACAAAAGACTGGGCTACATTTGAAAGTGCGGGGGGGGGGGGGGGGGGGGCATGTAAGCCAACACGTGCAATCGGAAGCCGTAGAGACACGCCGGGTTGAGGGAAGCCGAGACCTACACGATCGTAATCGTGCAGTTTATGGACACCGTGGCACGACTAATGTGGTCATCGGAATTCTGCCATCATTCGGTGTTGCCTGGTTGCCAGAGGCAAGTGGTCGACATTAGTAAACGAATGAGTTATTGCATTTATGTACTAGAGCTTTAAAAAACTTAATGTATATACTAGGTGATCCAAGCATCTTATTTTCAGAGTAATCTACCTTTCTTCGTGTTCTAACCCTTTGAAGGACAATGTAAAGGCAGATGGTGTGCTACCAACGAAAGAAGCTCAAACTTTGTGGAGGCTGGTGGTGAGGGTAGTTACCATATTTATTCGCATAATAAGCGCACTCGCATAATGAGCGCACCCCCACAACGGGCACAATATTTGGACTTTTTTTTTCCTCCGTAATCAATGCTCAAATAGCATCCAATTTTAGCAAGCCACCAAGCCAGTTTTCTTTTGCCACCAAGTGGTCAGTCCAAGTCGAGCCAAGCCAATTCGCTCTCGTAATAGCCGCAAGTGCGTAGTTGCGGTAATCGCAGAAGTGATCAACCGTGAAACCAAGTGTCGTGTACACTTGACGAAGCTTAGGTCGAGGAATTGCCGAGTCCCGGACATTCTTCGCCTAGCGGTTGCATTCATGTCAAAAAACAAGCCCTCATCTGTGGTCCGCTTTGTTAGGCCTAATTTGACATACTCCGGGTAAATGTGTTTATTTAATCCATAACAGAATGGCACAGCGAGGTGCACGCTGCACTGTAGGCTGGGAGTGTCTGGTAGCCTCTCCGTGAACAAAACTTGATCCGTGCAAGTGGGCTTCGGCAGTCGGCGCTTCGACTTTGTACGAGTTCTTATACGCGTAGTCGCGGATATACCTGAGCGTGCCATTGGATACTAGCAATATATATCGCCTAAGAATGGTCGCATTGCTTTTCGTGCTGAGTGAGCTTCGTAAGGCACTTTTCCTTCGGCAAAAGGCACCCCAAAAGCACCCTAAAAAGGTTTGCAATTTATAAAGCATGGTTACTGTGGCGCGCTCCGACCAGCCGTGGGTGCGAATCCATACTGGAGATGTGCCACAGTGCCTTGCCGTGTCATATTGGCACCTAATATGACATTTGCACAAAGTGTGCAAATGCACACCTGCCAACTCTTCCGAATTTTTCGTAAAATGTATGAATTAACTGTAATTTTACGATTTTACGAATCTTGTTTCAAATTTTACAAAAAAAAATATGAAAAATTTTTTTTTTATTATTTTTTTTTGTAAAACCGTGGCGGTATTTTGCACCGCCACAAGAGGGGGTAAGTATTGTCCACGGCAGCGTCGTGGTGGTTTTTACCATCCGTCTATCCGGTGGCCACAGATCCAAAACCAATCTGAAGCCCAAAGCATTTGTTCGTGTGTTTGGCGGCGCACGTTGGTTCGGCATGTTCAGACGTGTTTGGGCCTCTCTGTTTCGGCCAATTTCGAGGCGAGCAATGTGGCGTCTGTGTGTGTTTGTTGCACGTGTAATCGTAGCATTCCCCTGGTCGCGGTGGCTTCGCAGCGCAATGGCAAACTCCAAACCTCAAAAGAAGTACTTTCAGGTGTTCCCGAAGTCCTACACGTCAGAATTCCGGTTTTTCGTATCGACGAAAAAGGGAGGAGAAGTTTGGATGCTTTAGCACGTGCAATCGCTTCGCGTACCCCCCCCCCCCCCCCCCCCTCCCCCTCCCCTCCTCGCTCGCCCGTCCGCGGCCGCAGGAGTTTTACGAATTCAAAATTCCACAGGTTGGCAGGTATGTAAATGCAAAAAGTTTACCCCGTGCAATGAACGCCCCCTCGCAAATATGTGCAAATTTTTCGGGAAAAAAGTGTGTTCATTATGCGAGTAAATACGGCATGCTGCTTGGTTGCCTTTTTCGGCTATATGAACCAGCTGTCAAAAACATTAGAATCACGTGCAAACCTTTGTTATTCTACTTGCAGTCTGTACACCTGTTGGCTTTGCAAGGCTCTTCACAGTCATTGGAGAACTGGTGATCAAACCGAGGGTAGGTGGCTGTTTTGTGCTTTTTTTTTTCATTGTTGGCCAGGTATTTTTTGGGAGCGAAAGCTCAGTTTTTTCCAAGGAGTGTATGGAGCAAGGGTTGAGGGCTTATAGCTTTGAATGCTGCTTGCATGTTTCACTGGACCTGCCCTCACTGTCTCGCGTGAAAAGAATTACTCCGCCCTTATGTGCAATACCTCAGACTCGGTCCACCTGTGGATGGGTCCCTTTATCGATTGTTTATAAACATTGTGGCTTGTGTTCCAAAGTTGACCCTTCTAAGCTTGAGCTGAGGAGCATTCAATTTATAATAATGTTGTCAAGTTTCCTTCTTTTAAATGCATTCTTGGTTCATAAGCTTAAAGGGACGGGTATCGGTGAAGATTTCCCGATTTCTGGGCACGCCATCGCCTTGTCGATTTCGCTAGGTCCAGAGGCACGCCCTTCGAGCTGCTTCTCGATACGCTGCTCACGAAGGCATTCTGTGTTGGATTCCACTCTAGGCGCAGTTAAAGAAGCCTAGCAACGCCAGCACTCTCCAAGTGGATAGGCGAAACCCTGCGTTATCAATCGCAAATCTTCCGATGGTTCTACCGTAAAATCTCGTAAGGACGCCTACCCACAAGGAAGAGATACGGTCAAACTCTGATATATCGAAATCAAAGGGGATCGTAAAAAAGTTCGATTAATGAATAGTTTACTAGACAAAAATATGTTAAATTAAACTCGAGTGGAAATTTCCTGGCATCTCTGCTAATACCGAAGGTCGCGACAAACGGGAGCCTACCAAATAGAGCCGCTAAATACAGCAGAGCGTAGTTGGCGAAGTCCACAAACGCCACCGTGCTTACACGTGTGCCTGGTCGAGACCTCCACGCACCAAAAGCGACAAAACATAAAAAAAGGAAGAAAAACAGAAAAGCAAGACGCATAGAAAAAAAAACTATTGATCCATATAAAAGAGTTGAGCAAGCAACAAAAAAGAAAGGTCACTATATTCAAAAAAAAAAGGGAAGAAAAAAAAAACGGGCAAAGGAATAATGGCGAGAAAAAAAGATAAACAAAGATAAAGCGCGTCAAAAGTGTGATCGCACAACCGTTGTTAGCGACACACTCGATTTGCCAAAGCTCTTTTTTTTTGGCTTGTTTTGTTTTAGGCTTAGGGAGTCGTGCAGCGTCAGCAGTGTTTGGGAAAGGGACCAGGCTGCCGTTTCAATCCCTGTTCTTCCCACATGCGCGTGCCTGCCCTTCCCATTGCTTTTGCCATCCGCCACTTTTCTTTTTATGGTTCATTGTCTTTTTTTTTTTCACAACTGCTCTTTTGCTGGGTATGCGTGTATACTGGCTTGGCGGCCTACGAGCCACGCAGGCAAAGCAAGCAATGTGCTCACCACCGGCGCATTCAGGTCGCTGGAAAAACAACGGGCGGCCTGGCTTCGTTCGCTAGGTAGAGTGTCCCTGCCATGGGAGTTGGATACAAAAAGACTACGCTCCTGTACTATTACACATGATTTGTATGAACAATAATTCGAAATACCCGAGTGTGATATAACCGGACTCAACTGTATTGTTGAATACTCAAATTCAATTCGTAGCGAAGGCCGAATAGAACAGAATTTGTTTAGCTATTTGTAATAACCAAATATTCGCCCATCCCTGAAATTGATGCCAAAAAGTGGAGCAGAGAAAAACGCATTCAAAGTGCTCGAACCTCTCCCTTTTCTTTAGCATCGTTGGACTGAAAATAATTTATAAAAGAAATAACTACCCACCGTCGTTAAATTATTTCAAATAGAGTGCATTTATTCCAAGTATAGTTAAATTATTTCAGTACACTAAATGAAAGACTATTCAAACATTTATATGGGAACCAAAATATACCAATGTCAATGTACTAGTATGGCCATTTCGAAATATAGTATGTGGTCGAAGTGGTGCTGGCAAAACAAATCATGTTTTTAATCTACCGTTTGACTGTGTTTATCAACAGGCTGAATGTGTACGCAAAAACGTTATATGAACAGAAATATGAATTTCTTCAGAATGTTTATAAGAAGCTGAGCGATAATACAGGTGAAGAAGTAGCATTCTTTGGTGATGATAAAAATTATATTAATGGCGTTAATGATTTGGATGAATATGAAAAAAATCTTATAGTTATTGATGATTTCAAAAATACTCGAGATAAAATTAATTCTGGGAAAAAGTTTCATATTTGTTTACAATGTCAAGAAAGAAGAATTACTCGATCATATATATCGCTTATGATTTACATAGTATTTCACCGGTGTTAAAAAGTAATTGTAACTAGATCACTTTGTTTGGATTCAAAAGATAAAAGGGTTATGACAATAAAGGGTAGATTTTTGGGCAAGTTAGTAATTAAACATCTGAACGGTATTAACACACAAGTAGAGAGAGGAGAAAAGATAGAGGATGAGCGCTACTCACAACTATATTTACTGAGATGAGAAGGAAAAACAGTAAAAATCCATCACCCCAAAAAAGATGAACAAGAAGATGAAAAGTAAATAGAAGGGTGTTTTCTGGCAGACGCATGCTTCAGACACCAAATCCTTTGTTTGAAACACCAGATCCGTCGTCGGCTGTCGCATCTTGCCTGATGTCTTGCGGCAACCGTGGCTCATGCGGGGTCTTCACTGTCTCTGTTAAGAAGTCTCTTTCCTTGTTTGTTAATGCAACCGATTTAGCACTAATGCCTTCCTTATCTGCAGAGCTTTCCTCTCTGCAGATAAGGAATGCATTAGTGTTGATATGAAAGAAAAAAGTTGGTAAAAAGTTGGTAAATGTTAAGAATCCTGGTGGAAACCTTGATGCTGTTAATCTTATAACCTTGGAGAATAAAAAAAAAGGTAAACAATGAAAAATATAGGAATTTAAAAGGAAATGATACAAAATTTAAAAGAAAGCCCGGAAAATAATTTTAGGAAATTAAAAGAAAGCCACGAAAAATTAAAAGAAAGCTATGAAAAAAGGTGTATAGCATATATGTAGATGAATTTCAGCTAGCCTCTGAAAACATGCCATTTGAACCACTTCTTGGATATAAGATTTAAATAACATGGTTTATATCATATTAAACTTGTATTTTCGAAAAAATACAAAGATCAAATTCGTATGATAAGTTCGGAATTAGGTTGTTGGTTACAGGAAGATATATTAAGCCAATCCAGCAGTTTAATTGAATTATTGTTTACGAGCCTCTTTTTTAATAGTTATAAAATTTATTTTAAGATAAAGGCTGACAACATCGCATTGAATAATTCCTATCTTATAATAGAAAGGTTTTATCCTTTTAGCAAATAATGATTCCATCTTCTAGGAGAACTATTTTATCAGCCTGAAATGTTAGGGCTTACTTTGTTACTGTCTCGGTGTATATTTTGGATTTTTTAATCTTGTTATAAACCAAGACTCCGGAGCCGACGAGACAATATCGAGACGTCTAGCGGTTTCAGAACACAGCAGTCTTCTTCTTTATTTTTCACGCGGCTCCATCCGTCGCGAGGACCCACTCCGTAAATATTATAGATCTCACGACATCCAGTAGTATATAACATTCCTCTCCCCTTAACATTGAAAGTGCTGTACCGGCTTCCGCACGCGAGTGGAGCGTCGTTGGGGTGCACTTTCACAGACTTCACTCGAGGTCTCCGGTGGTTGTTGTTTGCTGCAGTCACCATGCACCTTCGACTTGGCTGATGGGCCTGGTGACGATCGTGGAGGAGCCGGGATGACCTCGTTGTTGTCTGGCGGCCGTTTACGTAGTTGGTCCGCACGGCGTGTTATCACTTTGGACGGAGTTTCGACGGTTGCCACGCGTGCTCCCGTTGTCGCCGTGACTTTTCCAGGAATCCACTTGTTTCCTGTCCCATAGTTTCTGGCGTACACCGGGTCCGCAGGTTGTGTCACCCAGTCTGTGTCTTGGGCAGATGCTGTGGAGTGTGATGGGAAACATGCGTCAAGTCGCGACTCGCGAGCGAATTCGATATCCTAGCAGCAGTTCAGATGGTGACTTTCCCGAGCTTGATGGTGTCCGTCTATAATTAAACAGAAGCCTTGCCAAGCTGGTTGTAATGTGGTCGTTTTGTATTTTCTTCAGCCCGTCTTTTATAGTTCTTACCGCGCATTCCACCAGACCATTTGACTGAGGGTGAAATGGTGCGGTCCTGATGTGCGTTATGTTGTTTTTCGACGTGAACTTCAAGAACTCGGCACTGGTGAAAGGTGTACCATTATCGGAGACCAATGTGCGGGGTATCCCGAAGTGGCTAAACACATCTCGCAAACACGACACAGTATTTGCGCTTGTGGCCTGTTTCATAGGAACGGCCTCGATCCACTTACTGTGTGCGTCAACCACTACCAAGATCATTTTTTCTCTAAAAGGGCCTAGAAAATCAACATGTACTCTGGACCAGTTTTCGTGTGTTTTGGGCCAGTTAACTGGCGCCTTTGACGCTGGCATGGGCAACATTTTGACACAGGCGTCCCACGTCGCTGACGTGTGCTCTATTTCCTTGTCCAGTCCAGGCCACCAAAATTGAGATCTTGCTATAGCTTTCATAGCCGACGCTCCCTGATGACTCTCGTGAAGGAGTTGTAGGAGGTGCCCCCGAGCCTCCCTAGGCACAATGACACGGTGGCCCCAGTATTCCAGGTCGTGTGCCACCGACAGTTCTAGTTTCCTTCCGTAAAACGGTTGAAGGTTCGAATCTAGGCTCTTCTCACATTTGGGCCATCCATTCATGATGTAGTTCTTGACCTGCGCTAACACTGAGTCTGTAGCTGTCATTTGTTTCAACTCCCTGGTTGTCACGACACCCTCCTCTAACCGCTCCATAGCAAGCACATATTCGGGAAGCTCACCTTCAGCACCTGTTTCCGCTGTTGCTTCTGCCGGTAGCGGTAGCCTGCTCAGGGCATCCGCATTTAGCCTTTCTTGGCCAGGCTTGTATTGTAGCTTGTAGGGGTAGCTTCCCAAAAGCAGCGCCCATCGTTGAATTCGCGCCGCAGCCATAGCGGGAGTCGGGCGGTCGGATCTCAGCAACCCCAGGAGTGGCTGATGATCCGTGACCAGGGTGAACTCATGTCCAAGTAGATAGTCTCTAAACTTCGTTACGCTGAAAAGCAGAGCGAGAGCTTCTCACTCTAGCTGAGAATAATTCCTTCCGGCGGCTGAGAGAGTTCTTGATCGAAACCCGATGGGTTTGTCTTCTCCACTTTCTCGGTGAAAAAGAACTGCTCCGATGCCGTACGGTGAGGCGTAGCACTCTAGTTGCAGTTCTTTCGCTGGATCAAAGTGCGTTAGCACCTTTGCCGAACTGAGAGCTTCTTTTGCTTTCTGGAACACCGCATCCTGTGCTTCACCCCACGTCCAGCGAGCTCCCTTTTCCAGCAATTTGTAGAGGCTTGTTAACAAGGTTGACATACTGGGAACAAATCTGGCGTAAAACGCTAGCATTCCCAAAAAAGACCGCAGCTGGCTTACATTTTTGGGCCGCGGTGCTTGCACGATGGCTTCCACTTTCGTCTCTAGTGGATGGAGGCCCTGTCCGTCAATACGGTGTCCGAGGTACGTAACCTCCTGTTCTTTGAACCTGCATTTCTCTTTCCGGAGTTTCACGCCGTGATCCCTGAACCGTTGTAGAAGTGCTCTCAACTGTAAGGCATTGCCATCAGCTCGTTCGGACAATATCATGTCAGCCAGGCATGCCTGCACGCCTTTTAGTCCTCGGAGCATGGTCTCCATCGTCCGCTGAAATATTGCCGGTGCCGATGATATTCCGAAAGGCAAGCAGTTGTAGCAGAAGAGCCCACGGTCTGTGTTGATCACAGCCATCATCTTTGATGCGTCGTCAAGGGCTACTTGGTTGTACGCATCCCGTAGATCCAAGGTGCTAAAACAATCGCTGCCGTTCAGACATGCGAACAGGTCCTCGATGCGTGGCAGGGGGTACTGCTCGACTTCACACGCAGGGTTTAGGGTTGCCTTGAAGTTCCCACAGATGCGCACCGAGCCGTCCTTCTTCAGCACCGGGACGATTGGTGTAGCCCATTCTGAGTGTGTGACCGGCGAAATAATTCTGACTTCCAACAATCGGTCAAGTTCTGCTGAAACCTTATCTTTCAGACCATAAGGAAGCGGTCTTGCCTTGCAAAACTTTGGTGTGGTACCCTCCTTTAGGTGTGGCGGGTTCGAATCCCGACCGAGGTGCCCGCAATATGACGGAGGCTTATTGCGGAGAAGGCGCCGTGTAACCGAGCTTTCGGTTGCACGTCAAAAGATCCCCAGGTGGTCGAAATTAATCCTCAGTCCTCCGCTGGGGCGTGCCAGATGCCCGTCGTAGGTTTGGCACGTAAAACCCCCAAATTTGACTTGACTTTTGATTTTGGCCCTCCTTTAGGTGCAGTCGAGCAGGTGGTCCCGTGATCAGCCCGATGCCCGGAGTAAACAGATCTTGAAGCTCGCAGAGAACTGCCTCCAGATCTTCCACATAGACTGGTTTGCTACTCAGCGGCACGACATTGCCTGTAAGGCTTAACACAGAGGTGCCGGCCTTGTTCAGCTTGAAAGTTAAATCACGTCCACACAAACACGGACCGCACCAGTTCAACACAGTCAAACTGCACTCTACTAGGGTGCCTCGGTACGAGACTTGCATGTGCAGCTCACCCAGCACGGGTATTCTTCCTAGGTAGCAGGACAGTTTCACGTGCGGTGCTTGAAGCTTAGGCCAGCGTTCACGGTGCTGAGTGTAGACCTCCCGCGAGATGACACAGACGGGTGATCCAGTGTCTACTTCCATCAGCAGATCGACTCCGCCCCAAGAGAACTTGCGTCGCACTGCTGGAACCAGATCCACAGTTTTGGTCTTCAAGCTCCATTTTTGCACACCTTCGGTTTCCGTTTCTTCCGATGACCTCCCTGCTGCTTCTAGTGCTTTGGCTTGTACATGCGGCCTGGAATATGACCTCTGTTGCCCAGGATGTTTACAGTTCCGGGCCCAGTGACCACATTTTCCGCAGTGGAAACATGTCGTTCCTTTGTACTGGCAGCGGTTACCTTCGTGCTCTCGGCTTCCACAGTGCTCACAGACCCTTGTGTGTTGTTGTCGTGGGCGAAATTTTTCGGACCTCTTTCTTTGTCCCATCCTCATCGCCACTGTTATAAACCAAGACTCCGGAGCCGACGAGACGATATCGAGACGTCTAGCAATTTCAGAACACAGCAGTCTTCTTCTTTATTTTTCACGCGGCTCCATCCGTCGCGAGGACCCACTCCGTAAATATTATAGATATCGCGACATCGACTAGTATATAACAAATCTTATCACATTTGGGTTTATGACTACATTTGTTTTATCTTCTAATACTTTCTTTGTAATATTTTTTAATTCCTTTGGCCTTCTTTGATACTCCTGTACCATAAACTTTATATGAATAACATTTTGGTCTAAGTGCCACAAATTACATTAGGATATTTCCATTCAACTCATCTTTAAGCTTACCACTTACTTTTTTTTATTATCCTGGGAAAATATTTGATGATCTCTTGGATAATTAGAGGTATCAAAATACTCCTTCATTTCTTTCATATCTTGGTAGATGTTTTCAGTCTGAATGTCATATATTATACTGTCTGTCTTTAGAGAGAATTTCTTCTTCATAACATTTGTTTTTTGACACTCGTGCACACCAGTGCGAACTGATGCAGCTCGACATAAGAGCGCCAATACAACATGTCCGACTTTGATGCGAACAATTTGAGGAATTTTAAGGCTATTTTTTGTCATTTTTGAATATTCGAAAGCATACTTGAACAGTTAAAGTAGCGCGACGAAAATTACATGAAAATAGTTTAGGTTTTACCGAAACTCGTCTTCTGGCTTTCAAATCATTTGTCAGTTCTCAGCTTGAGTATGCATATGGACTCCTTGTCAAGATTATCCGATTATAATACAATAGAAAGAATCCAAAACAAGAAAGCACATTTTATATTTAAAGACTGCATCTACGAGCGTATCGGCCATAAAATATGGAGTGAATTTGCCTTCATTGGATGCCAGATGGTTTCATCATCTTAATGTTCCCATCAAGGAGCGGTCACTACTTCCCCCTTATCGCATCTCTTCTGGACTCGACCATCCTCATAAAATTCGCTTACAAATAATGTCCTACTAACCGATTTCTCAACTCCCTGTTGCAGCTTGCCACTTCCGAGTGAAACTCTCTGCCCCATAATATTGTGGAAATTGCAGATAGAACAAAATTGAAAAGAGTGTGCGAATTATTACTTAAGGTACTCAGGAATGAGGCATCTGTGCGTGTTAATTTCTTTGTATGTATTTATCAATATTGCTGTTTTTTTTTTAGATTGGTACAATTCTTTTCTTGTGTAATAAGCGTGTTATTGCATGTTGTATTTTGTATCATAAAATTTTGTATCTCCCCCTCATATACCAGGCAGTTTGAGGTATGTTAAATAAATTTTAAAAAAGCCACTTTTTGATGTTTGCAATATACAGTTGAATTGAATGAAGCAAGTTCCGGTGTCCTCTTTCTCTGAAAACTGGCAGCAGCAACATCCGTTTTCACACGGAGCGGGCATGCTGTTGACGGAAGGACATTCCCCGCGTAGAACGCGCACTCGTGCTCCGCGGGAATGTGCGGGCATCGCTTCTAAATGTCGATCACTACGGTACTCTACCGTGGGTCCAGTTTTTGGGAGTTAGCCTTTCTAGCCCATAGTAGGAGCAGGGGTCTGAACCCGAGTGGGAACTGAGCCGTCTGGCCTTGCAGTTCCTGAGGGACATTGAGGAGGAGCAGGCGTGCACCCTGCTGGAGGAAGAAGACCTCCACAGGAAGCTCCTCAGCCGCCAGGGTGAGTGGACGACCTTCCGCACGCCCCCCTCGAGCTGCAAATAGAGCTGGAAAATACCACCCTTTGGATTCCTTCTCCAAACTTCCAATGGAAGCAGGTTGCTTTTGTGGATGTTCAGGGGACTCTATTTATTGAAATATTTCCTTTTATTTATCGGCACATTTTTTAAAAATTTGCGTGCAGGTATGCTTGTTAATGGTGATTTTATATTTGGATTTATATTTAGCATATCTCCTTTAGAACAAGAGGTATGGCAAAATGATAAAATCCAATTACATAGGGCATTTCTTACAGGTCATTATAATACCGTAATTCCTCATTAAAAATATTTTTTTTTACAATGTGCAGTCACTTGCAAAAGTCCATCATACATCCTAAAGCTAATAAAATCTTTATAAAGCCATATTGTAGGAGAAGCGCTTTTGCGCTTCTACAATGTGAATATCCAACTCGCCCAAGCATCTACTCTAAAAAGTTTCATAAAGCCAGTTTTTTTACCATAAGTAAATCAATCGTATACCTGAAAGCAAACAAAATCTGCCCTTAATTAGTCATCATTTTAGCTAGTTCCTTTTAATCTATTGACTCTACAAAAAACAAAACAAAAAAAAAAAGAAAGCTTAAGGATGCAGTTCAGTTGTGGCTGAGAAAAACAATACCAAGTTCTCTGGCATTCATTTATGCAAACATTATCAAAATGTTCATAAGGAAATGGCACCTTATAAAAAAAAGACAAAGCTCAGAAAATTGTTTTTTAATTTTTCTCTATGCTAGAACCTTTACTACTGAAATCATAGAAAAAATGGAAGCTTTCCCAGGCGAAAATCAGTCCACTTCCAGCTGGATTATAGAACTGGGTATGAGGCAGTCCAGCTGGATCCCAGCTGGACTGCCTCTTTTCTAGTTCCATAATCCAGCTGGAAGTGGACTGATTTTCGCCTGGGTTAGGATGCAGTCTGGTTATAGCTCAACCTCAGTCGACAAATGGCAATTACAAAAAAAATACAGAAAATGGTGTCAGAGTTTTTCGGCTGTGATTGTAGATTCACGCGAGTCCTGGGGCTTGTGCCTCTAGGCCCTCTAGGCCTGTGGGGCTTGTGCCTTTAGGCCATCTTCACCTCGAGGTTTCTACGTGTCGGACAGCTCCCAGTGCTGCAGCCGAGCTACTCTGCTATCGCCTTGGTGGTCTTTGCCATGCCCTGGTCGAAGCGAGACACTGCTTCAGGAACAGCCCTTTCCACAGCCAGCAGAGAGTCATGCGTGCTCTTGGAGGTTTAGCCCCAGATCACCGAGTGTAGGCTCTGAATGGCATTTTGTGTCATGCCATCACTGCAGCGCTTTAGGAGTGCCTGGTTACTCAGCCTGTGAAAGACTGACTCCAGTGCTGCGCAAGTGAAGCCTGGTAGAAGCTTCTTGCGTCGATGACTCCTCGTGGCTGGCCAGTGCATAGTTGTAGGATCACCAAGAATCGTCACCTTTAGGACAGTGGCTGTGGTTCAGGGCTTGGTCTGTTGTCGTCATGTGCAACAAAGTGTCCCGCCTTTTTCATCCCTAGGGCTCGTTGCCTGTGGGCCCTTAATGCGTATCCGTAGTAGTCCATAGCCGCCCGCTTGTACACACGGTTCAGTCGGTCCTTCTTCTTAAATAGGACGGCGAATGTAAGCAGATGACGTAAAGCAGGCTAGGGAGAGAGGAGAGGCACTCCAAGGCCAGTCGGAGAGCGGCGCCTCGGAGGAGCGCGCGCTTTGAACAATCAGCATCTCTCTTGAGCTCGGCTCGCACTGTTCTGAAAAGCATCGACGATGTTGCGGATGCCACTTCGAAGTACGCTGAAATGAAGCGTGGGAAACCAGCTTTCAAACAACACTAAGCTGGTCCCGGTCGGTTCCGTGGTCGGGCTCTTCACTGCTTACAAATTGTTTTTATTGCGAAAGCATTAACTGTCCTGTGGAGCGAACCGATGTCATCAGCTTTTGAAGCCGCGCCAAACGGCACCTTCCCCTGTCCCAATCGAGCGTAGCCTGTCGTCTGTAGCAGAAATCTGATGGATAGTTTCCCATTGGCTGGCGCCCGCCATAGTTTCAAGGAACGAGGCTCCCATTGGCTCTCGCACGGCGTAGTTCCAAGGAACGCCACCAGAGACGCCCTCTCCATGGCAGCGCAACGCACGCAGAGGCCTTGCCGCCGGTAAGAGAGAGCGCCTGGCTGCATAGCCTGCTCGAGCAAACCCTGGAGAGGCCGCACGGCTGAGCTCGGCGCGCGCGGCCACCTCAGCAGTAGCGAAACGTGGCCGTCCACGCCACTACGCTGCAGACGAACTAAGGGAGCGGAAGAACGTCATTTATGCTTTCGCATTCACAAGTCATAAGAAGTGTTTAGGTGTCCTCGGAATTTTTTCTAATATTTAGAGACTGAATTGAGCATTCATATTTTGGGAAGGTATACTACGGACCACATGCTGCGATTTTTTGAAGATGACATTTTTAGCGATAGCTTTCTATTCCAAGACCCGCATCGCCCCAAACATGGAGGCCAACATTTTTTTCTCACTAGTGCTCTTTAAAACCAGGTTTCCGCATTTAATCGTCGTCAAAGAACATCCACCTTTCGGACGGAGCGAAGTTTCTACGCCCGTCAAGCTAATGCGGGTGCTCCCACGTGCCAGCCGCTGCTCGGACGTGCCGGTGCGAAGTGGTGAAGCTCGTTGCTTGGTTCGGATCTCCATATGAAAGGAGACTCTCTAGATGTAGAAAATTGACCAAGATGGGATCGGAGAGAGAGGTAGAATGCCTTTCCTTTCTAGTCTAAGGCGGTGGCAGGACAGGAAGCACGGCCGAGAGGGAAGAGGGTGCCACTTTTGGGGATCCTGGGAAGGGAATTGACGCATGGGACGGAACATTGCCTCATCATCGACAGCCTCGCATTCGATAAAAATCCACCACAACCGTTAAAACCCTTCGTTTCAAGGCATCCTTTCGTCCGGGACAACTTTCTGGCGGGGGACGTTTACCAATCTTGAGTTACCTAAGATCATAACCCAACGTTTTGTATTAACTCTTACTTCCGTTGGCACTTTTCCCGCACGTAAAGTGGGAGCGCGTGGCGCCACCTGCGGGAAGCTTGAGAAAGGAGTGTGGGCGGCCAAGGTGGGATCTGAGCGGGGCCCGTCTGATTGCAGAGTTCCAGATCCGCCCGGCGTACGCCAATGGTAGCAACGGGACGGCATCCGTGGAGCGGAGGCTGCGCCAGCTCCAGAGGAGGCGCCAAGAACTCGGTGGGTGGACCTCGGCGGCAGCTCGTTTTGCGAGTGGGGCTCTCGCTGCGTGTGGGCCAACATTTTCATTAAGACTTGGCTGCTGATCAAATATTTCTTTAATGCAAATTACTCCATGCGAATCGAGCGTAGACTCTTTAAAGGGGCCATGCAACGATATTAAGATGGAATATTTCTCACTTTACGCGAGCTAACTAGTGTGACCCAAGAACGCTCGGACCTACATCACTGACCGGGAAACTTCTTTGTCGCGGTGTAATTTGTAAAAGTGTAAAAGTAGGCTCTCTTTCTTCAGAGTCTGCCTCACAAAACTTGACGACGTAATCATGCGGATTGCAGTGTTGACATAGCCACGAGGATTACCCGTGGCGATGCTATCTAATTCCGGCTTATACATTGGACTGCGTGAATGCTTTGCTTCTGCTCGGGACAATCCCTGCCTCGACAAGCATTGGGATGGCGGCAGTTGCGCTGCTTACGGGAATGGCCGAATCCTAAGAGGATCTGGAGGATGTGCCCTGTGTTTTGCCAACCCCAGCACCGGATTGCCTGGCCGCTTGATCTGACCGCAAGTGCAGGGAGTCAACTTATCCCATTTCTTCTACCATTGTGTGGAAAGTAAAACTAATGCGCGTTTCCAAGGTTAGCGACGCTGAGGATTACTTTTATGCGGTATCTACTAAACATGTATAATCGTTGCACCCGCTCTTTAACTCTTTCCGGACCACAGGAGAAGAAGCAATTTTCAAAAGATCCGGCAAATGCTTTTATTTTTTTAACTGTTTTGTGTGCAGCCATGTCAAAATGTGGCCAATTAGTTGTTTTGTAGATTATTTTATTTGTTTTGCTGGAGAGATGCAAACGACGGGCATAACAAAATCGGTTTCATATTCCGCATGCCTTGCAAAAGCACTTCCCCAGTCACCTTGTGAAAAGCGCGAAACACGGAGTTCGCACCTTCCTAAGCTTCCCATTTTTTACCTGCTTTAGAGCACTTTGTACCTGCTAGTAGTTATGTCCCTTGAAACTTGAAACTAGGGGCAGTGCCAGAGAGCAAAGAGACAAAGTTCGGAAAGCTTGCTCGCCCTCCCCAATTTCTGAAATTTCGAGTGATTATACCATAATAAATGCACAACGCCTCTTCCCAAAATAACAAAAAAAGCACTTTGTTCACTACGTAAAAAATGGTATCAGTTCATGCATCTGTGGGCAGGTAGGAAATCTTGCCCAAATTTATTCACACCGCACGATGAGCGCAACACGTTGCTGTGCAAATGCAGTCCAACACAAAGCATAAAAACGGCAGATTTAGGACAACAATTCAGAGTTCAATTAAAACGACGTAATTTTGTTGAAAACGCCCACAGCTTTTTACTCACGGTATGCGTCGGGAATCTTCCACATTTTGAAACGGAATGAAGGAAGATTTACTTTTAAAAACGCTCACTGCCTCCTCCCGGACCAGTTTGACTGAACCAGCTGACGAGGACGGGACTAAATCCGCTGAACCGCAACCCCACAACAGCCAATTTGCACTCCGTGTTAGTGTGGGTGTCTACTTCCAAGCACTGCACTACACACACCACAAACGTTTCCGTTCTTTGTCGCATCGCCGTGTTGCACCAAACAGAACGAGATCGCCGAAGTCAACGCAGTTTCGTGAATGTTGGCTTCTGGTTGCACACTCGTGGACCCTGTGACCCTCTTCGCTTTCAGAGCACACACGACGATTGTGAATGATACTTTCCGTCTTCCGGGAACATCCTAGGGGCACTTCTCCGGTCACGTCTTCACTATGTGCTCGCAAACCTCGCAGCTTCTCGTGTACCGTCAAACCAAAACAATACCGGCGCCATGTTTAACGTGCGTTGTTGCCCGTTGTAGCCAGATCTTACCGGAAGTTGAGTCGCTGCATCATTCAACTCAGCAGCCAAGTCAACAAAAAAGAGCAAATCCAAGAGTGAGGGGCAGGGCGTAGTTCTCCTCCGCGGGGGTCGAAAGAGCGCGAGTTCCAAATGTGGAGAGGTTCTGACTCCGACTAAATTATGTCCTTTGACGTAAATATTGCCAAAAAAAAAAAAATTATTTTTTCCGCGGAACATTGGTTTTGTGACATGCTTGTCCCAATTAGGCTGTTTAAAAAAACATTTTTTTTTTTTGCACTTACCCCTCAAGAAAGGATGACTGGAAAGTGTGCCTATAAAAAGGGATGGTCAGGTTAAAAGGGGAAGATCCTTCCACCCACTCTAGCAGAGCGATTGCTGGAGAGGCAGTTGTGACTATTTTTGTTTAAGGAAACAAAAGGCCCCTATAGAATGAGATGGGTAAAACCATCGAAAGCGAAGCAATGAGCAGCTTATTCATTGTATATAAGTCGAGGTTTTCTTTTTTGGCGTGACTTGTTGGTCGAACGAGGGAGACGGAGCGGAAAGCGCAGCCTTGGGCACCGTGCCAGCGACCAAGTGCACCGAAAGATGTCTGATGGGGGAGGCGTGTAGGGACAAGCGGGCGTTGGGGGTCCTCGTCGGAGAAACCCTCGGCCCACACTGGCGGCCCTCGCAGGCATCCAGCGGTCAGCCTCTCCCTGGAGACGTAACCTGGCCTACCCGGTGGCCATGCTGCTGCTGCTGGGGCTCACGGTAGGTGCCTCCTCCTGACACTTGTGGCTCTGTACTTTGGTGCTAGCAGCAATGCTCATTGTATTCTGCCATCTATCATCTTAATATATCGAAAAGTTCCCGCCTAAACGCAAAACTGTGTGCGCCCCGGGAGGTGTTGCTGTCTCTCGTGTCTTTGGGGAATCGTGCTTGAGTTGCTCCTGTGGCAGTTCACACTTCTAACACTTCTCAAATTCGAAATCAGACGATGGGAACTCATCATCCAACTCAAAAGTTGTGGAAAGCACCTCCTGTACAGAGCCTTAGGCCGCCAGAATGTTGATTGGAAGCGGACTCGCGAAAATGAAACCGAATGGAAGAAAGATGAAACTTTTTGCCCTTAATCTTTCCCTTCGATGCCTTCTCATTCTGGACAGCTTGCAAGCACTGTCCATGCTCCCGTTAGATAATTAAAAAAAACACTGTGCATTCACTTATTGTTGCTGCTATCCTTTTTTAAGAAAAAAACAACCCACTGGGGTATGTCTTCTGAAAAAATAACACTGCCGCGAAAGAGGTAAAGAAACATGGCCGGGGTGAGTTTTAGATAGGATCGAATAACTAGGTCCGGTTGACATTTTTAATTCTTACTAAAAAAATATATTTTCCTGTTTCGTGCACCCCGAAAAACATATTTTTGTGAAAAATAAAGTTTATGTTTAGAAAGAAAAATTGCAAATTGGCCCTCTGTGACGTGTGCATTTGGTGACTTGCAAAGTCGGCATTTAGGATATGACAGATACTGTTGTTGCTGTGTCATATTTTTTGTGCAGAGGCTGCACAAACAATCGAGGGAGTCAACAATTTTTTGTTCTTTACGAAGCGTCGTTGTCTCGATAATACAGTCAAATGCATTTATAACGCTTCTACTATGAAAACGGTCGTTTAACCAAGTACAATCGCCGACCGATTTTTCGGACTTCGCAGGGACCGAAAAGACCTCCAAATAATAGAGCAGTCCGAAAAATCGGCAGATTAAAAAAGGTTGGGGCACCGATCTCGCTGTGACGGTGGTTGGCCAGCGAAACTGCGGTATCACCTACAACGATCGCCCACTGCTTTATACCAAATGATTGACGAAAGGAAAGTAAATGTGCCGTACCAACATTTTTTTTATTTATTTATTTATTCGGTACCCGCAGCACCTTGTGGCGTCACAGTGAGAGGGTTACACACTAAGAAATTTAACAGCAGGTAAAAGTAAAAATATTTGCACGAGAGAAAGAGCAAAAAAAAGCAATGCAAACGAGAAACAACAAATTCCTTTTGACAGTTAAAAAAAATCAAATTCACGTCGGGCATATATAAAAAAAAAAAAAAAGATTGCTGTCGCGACATACGGAGCAAACGCAAACTTTTGTGGCACATATTTACTTTTTAAAATGTTTACCAATAAAGTGAAGGTCTGCTTCTAAGGCAGAAAAATAAGCATCATTTGAAAGAATTGATGCAATAGGCGAAGCTAATTGATTCCATTGACCAACTGTTTTTGGAAGAAAAGATCTAATAAATGCTCTGGTCTTACATCTGTACTCGTGTACTTTGTGGATGTGATCCACAGGAGCAGAGACATGTGCAGCAATAAGATATATGTTTCACGTGGAATATCAGACTGCGAGCGATACGTGCTATGGAATAGCTTTAAATTAAGTTCCGTCGTGTGTTTCTCGAGCGTATCCCATTTTAACTTTTGTTTGGAACGCGTTACGCTACAATCTCTTCCGTATTTTGCTTTTTCTAAAACATACCGAACTGCTCGGTTTTGCACTTTTCTATTTTATCTGTGTCAATGTTGATTGGAGGATCCCATGCAGTACAGGCATAATCTAGTACAGGACGCACGTTTGACTTGTAGAGGAGTTCTCTAAAGTCCCGAGGGAAGTGTCTAGTGTTTCGGGTTATAAACCCTAAAGATCTGCTAGCTTTTGCAATAGTTTAGTTCACATGTCGATGCCAGCACAATGATGATGTCAAGTAGATGCCTAAATACCTGAATTCAAACGCGGTTTTTAGACTAACGTTGTTTACGACTTAAGAAAAATTAATTGTCGTTCGCCTTCTCGAAAACTTCATGGATACGGTCTTATCTAGGTTTAGTTTCATCCCCCATTTTTCGCACCATGTGTGTATGTTGTCTAGATCCTTTTGAAGCATGTAGTTGTCATTTTCACGAGTTAATGTTTTATACAATACGCAGTCATCCGGGAAAATTTTCATAGATGATGTAACATTCTTCTTGATATCATTTATATAAATTTAAAAAAGCAGAGGTCCCAAGACTGACCCTTGTGGCACTCCTGACGTTACTTCCGCAATTTTTTATGCTGCGCCGTTTACTACAGTGTACTGATGCCTACACCGTAGGTATTCTGAAATCCAAGAAATAACTCAATAATTAACACTAAAACTCGACGATTTATCTAATAATGATTTATGGGGAACTACATCAAAAGCTTTACTAAAGTCCAGGGAGGTACAGTCAGCAAGTGCACGGTTATCAAGTGCTTCCGCTATATCGCGAGTGAATTCGGTTATGTGCATCATGCAAGACAATCCCTTCCGGAAACAATGTTGAAACGGATTAAACAATGAATGAGTGTCAATGTGTTTTGCAATAGAGGTATATAATATATGCTCTTGAATTTTGCAACAAATGGAAGTTAATGAAATTGGACGGTGATTTGAGACTGTACGAGAGCCTGACTTGTGAATCGGAACAACGGATGCTATCTTCCAGTCAAGAGGAAGAGGACATACATTCAGTGACTTCTCAAAGAGCACTTTCAAATATGGGGTTACTGAGCGTGCACAGGATTTATGTAGGGCATTTGGCAAACAATCGGGGAATGTCGCCGTTGAAACACTTCAGTGTTCCAATAAAATTTCTCTCCCCTGGGAATCAAATGAAATATCTTCCATGGTCTACAGTGTCCTTATGTACTGTCGTGAGCAAAAGTCTGGATAACACGGGAGCACCGACCGAATTGCATCGCCGCGCTCCCTGACGGCGCGGCGCCTGGTGTCGAGACCCGCGCAATGCGCACGCGCGTCCTTTCTTATCTGCTGGCCCACTCGTTCGCTCGCTTCAACGCGATGCGCTCCTGAGCGATTAAATGGGCGCTAGGTGCCGCCCCGGGAACCACGATTCCGAGAGCCTCGCTCACCACTCTAGACGAGCTCGCGTGCTCCGCGGCACGCGCCGTTCGCGCATATCTTTCTCGCGACTCGGCGACGCGTTAAAAACTGTCGCTTCCCTCCCTTCGTTATTTTTAAGCTTCCCCCTAAATTTGCCCCGGCTACAATGCAAACAGCTGCTGCTCAATTTATTATGCACGCGTTGTAAAAGGTCAAGAAGTCAAGAAAATAACGAGAAAAAAGACACATGGTACTGGCCACATATTCTCAGCATGGTTGTTCGCGAAATGACCTTAAAATGTTCAGTTTGACATCAGCTGTGATGACTTGTACCGGAAGCCATAAAATAAAGCGGCTATGCAACGATTTCCGGACAATGGCCAAATAATTATAGGAGTTGTTCTCCGACACTTCTCAAGTAAAGAACAGAAAAGCGATTTAGTCTGTGTGCCCTAATTATAATTTTAAACAATAGCAAAGATTCAAGTTTCCGGCACCCCTCAACTCTCTAAATGACGTGCTCAGTGACGTCGACGTGAGGATGCACCGGTTTCCGTGTGCTCTCCTCAAGGATGTTTACTCTTTCCCTCTCTCTACTGCTCTTCGTGAGGCGTTGAGCTGCAGCGATCCCCGCGTCACCGTCACGGCGCGTTTCCCATGGCCGCCGCGCACGGCTGCAGAGGGGGAAATATTTCCATTTCTGCTTTGCGATTACACAACAGAGTTGCAACATTTTGCAGGAAAGTGATGCTTTTTTTATTCTTTCTGACGCTATCAACAATATAAAAATTTCAAGCCAGCCAAATTGAACCAGCGCCTCTTTTTCCTTCCGTTTTGTTTCTTGTTTTTTCTTGGGAGGGGGGTTGAATAAATATTTCTTTCTTATTTGGCGTTTTCTTTTTGCTCATCATTCACCACTTTACCGCGCGTGCATGATCACTCGGAAGGAAGCCCAAGGCTGCCTCGTGTACGCAAATACAATTTCTACAATTCATTGCGGCTGCCGAGTCGCGGGAATGATACGCGCGAACGGTGCGTGCCGCGGAGCACGCGAGCTCGTCCAGAGCGGTGAGCGAGGCTCTCGGAATCTTGGTTCCCGGGGCGGCACCTAGCGCCCATTTTATCGCTCAGGAGCGCATCGCGTTGAAGCGAGCGAACGAGTGGGCCAGCAGATAAGAAAGGACGCGCGTGCGCATTGCGCGGGTCTCGGCACCAGGCGCCGCGCCGTCAGGGAGCGCGGCGATGCAATTCGGTCGGCGCTCCCGCGTTATCCAGACTTTTGCTCACGACAGTACTATTAGCAATGAAAACACTGAGCTAAAGTAATTGTTAAAATATTCTGCTTTATCACTAGCATTTTATTTGATAACTTCATCATCCAGGAAAGCTGGAATAGATACGTTATCCTTTTTATTTGTTTTTATGCATTTCCAAAGTTCTTTTGGATTTTCTTTAGTTTTATGCTGAAATGATTCAAAGTAAGCTAATTTGGCTTAGGCAATTTCAATTTTTAGTTCACCGGTTATTAGCTTTAATTTATTTAGATTTTCAGCCAATGGACTGTTTTTAAATGCATTATAGATTCTTTGTTTTTGCTGAGTCAACTTGCGTAGTTGTTTTGAAAACCATAGCTTGCTTTATTAAGTCTTGGGTCCAGGCAGTTATGAAGCGCTCTCGCAGTTCCAGAACCTTTGCCTTATAAATCGACCAAAGTTCCTTTAGAGGGTGGGATTCTGCAAGTGTTTCCAAAACTATAAAATATGCGTCTAGAGCATCGCTTATTCCCTCCGTGTGAGCTTTTGCATAGTTGTGCATATGTCTACTGCTATTGTTGTTAATTTTTATGTGCTGTAGATTCATTTCGCAAAGAACAATTTCGTCAATTAAAACAATTTCGTGATCACTAATCCCCGGCAGAATGGACCCTACCAGCTGGGGCTCATTTGTGAGAAAAAGATCAAGAGCGTGGTCGCCTCGAGTGGGCTGTAACACGGTCTGGTTCAGTGCAAACCAATTCATGAAATTGGACATAACTGCATTGAGCCCTCAAGTTGCACCGGAAAAGGCATTTTGCTGGTGCCAGTTAAAATCGGGGAGATTAAAGTCCCGGCCTATAACGATACAATCAAATTTAATTGTTTCCGCCATGGTTGTAAATTCTGACAATACCTCTACGTAACTTGCAGGTGGACGGTAAAAGGAACATACTGACAAAGTTACAAGGTCTCAGTTGGCACTCCAACGCTTCGCACGAGTTATCATCTAAAATTCTGGTGGAAGGAATTCTTTGATCGACCAAGATAGGTACACCTCCTCCGTGACTATTCCTGTCCTTTCTGTAACGTGCAAAGTAATGGGGGAAATACCTCGCTCTCTGCTATATCTTCGTTTAGCCATGGTTCTGTACCGATAACAACTGTCGGTTAAACAGTATGTGCTAGGCTATTGAAATCTTTAATCTTATTTTTAATGCTCCTGTAGTCAATCACAATAAAGGAGGCAGCAGCGGGCGAGCCAGCGCTCGGTCATTGAAACTTTACTTCTTGGTCGACCTCATCATCCAAAACATATTTGAGGTCATTGAGATACAGCGCGTGATACAGCGTTGGCTGACACGTCTGTCTTCATTCTTGTGAGTCTTCGCAAACTCCCACAGAGAGCGTCTTTTCCTTCGTACAACCTCAGAAAAATCCTCCGATAAACTGATACTAGACCCTTTAAATTTTTTCGCATTACCCAGAATCGCATGTTTTTCTTTGCAAGATGCAAAGTTCAGAATTAAAGGCCGATTTTTGTTCGCCCGGAATTTCGCTATCCTGTGCACTCCCTCAATTATTGTAGGTTTTACGTCAAGTTTTGTTTCACTTTCTCGAACAGGTTTTTTAGGACACAGACCATGATTTATGCGCGTGCGCATCCTTTACACTATGAAACACTAGGTTTCATCGTCTGCTACGATTATCAAGATCGTTGATTTTCCGCACAAGTGACTGCGTGATAGTACGCTGCTGGTTGTCGCGGCTCTCTTTACACTCGGTCATTGCTGATTCTAAGTTTGTAAACGGTGGAACTAGACATCTTCAGGAGTAACGCTTTGCGTTGCTTGATTGGTTTTAATATTATCAAGCTGGGCCTTAATCGCCTGTTGCACATCCAGGATCGTCTGCAAAGTTGGCTCGGAGCCAGCCCACAGAGTAGAAGTAGTAACAAAAAAAAAAAACGAAAGCTGTCACAACAGTAAAAAACGGCCATGTACATACACTGGACCTCCCAATCGAACGCTACTGGACACAGTTGTAAAGAGTTTGGAGTGGAATCGCCAAAACATATGCAGTAAACCTTGCACAGGCAAGTGGGTGAGCGGCACTGCCATTGCCACGTCAGTTTCACGCGCCAACGGTGCACTGGGAACTTCCTCCTTTTGTAGAGTGCAGACAGTCATATTTGTTTGTAGCTTAACAAAGGGCATAGGTCAAAATCAGCTGCTTTGCACGTCAAGTTCCAGTCGTCGTCATTATCTGGTGCTGCGTCGCTCCGTGGTAATTCCGTGGAAGTTCGTTGGCCAATGCTATCGTAGATGTTGAATTGTCGAGATGAAACATTGAAAATGACCTGCATAAACAGTAACAAGCGGGTGAGCAGCACTGCCATTGCCGCGCCGGTCCTTTTGTAGAGCGTAGACAGTCGTGTAGCCACTCCATTGTTCGTAGCCTGGCAAAGGGCATCGGTCAAAACCAGCCACTTCGCCGATTCCACACCCCTTTTCCACGCCACTTTTTGCACCTTCCTCATCTATTTCCATACCTTCTAATCTGTTGTACAGTTTGTGTAGTCAATATGTTGAGTGCCAATTGTTCCTTTCCCGCATTGTCTTCCCATCACATTTGACTGGGCATTAACTGACACCAGATCCAGGGCGTCGCAGAACTCTTCTAGTGACTTTGTTGTTGCATCTGTGAGCCGGTCGAAGTCTTCCAAGTCTACTGGTGAAGTGAAGCGCTCACCTGGCTGCGTCAAATGTTAGGGTGCATCCTGAAAAACGCTGCGTCATGTGGCTGTGCTGAGTCGTGAAGCTTTCGCCACCCGGCACTAGCCGCTGTCTTTGCGTCGAGAAAACTTCCGACGCGTCTGCTCGTGGGCTTTTCGCATTTGAAGCCAAGGTTGCTTGATCTCAACAACGTTCATGCGGTGTCCTGGACTCGCCGCTCCATCGCTCGTTGGTGCTGGCCGCTGGCCCTGAGGTTCTGCAGTACCGAGCTCCCGCTGTCGACTGCGCCAGTCACGGCTTGTGGTTTCGGGCGCCATGGGATACGGGGAAGCAGGGAGCCAGTCTTGGGGGCACAAGCGTCGCTTCAACGTGGTCCAGCATCCGACTACCCATCTCCCCTTTCTTCCGTCATCAACTAGCCTTTTTGGGCCCACCAATCGGCACCTTGCACACTGCGGGTATACAAGAAATAACAATCGCAAAATCCAATAACCCGTCGGCGACGGCACTTAATCTGCAGCTTCGTGCATGCCTCATGCTTCACATCACCATTCTTAGAAATCTTTGTGCAAGTTTGGTCGTCCAAAATATAATATTATTTGGGTCATACGCATTTGCTGGTGCCAAGTAATGGCCCCCGGCGGTGCCACTCGACCGCAATAAAACGAGCTTTGATTTAGCCTACTAGAATAGACGCGAGTAATGTCCGCCGACGTGTCTTGGCACTGCTGCAGCGCTGCTCTCGCCGACGCCATTGCGAGCCACACCACTGTAGGTTGACACAAATGGTGGGAGATGATGCCAGTGGATATTAGGGGTCCCCCCAAATGGGCCTTCTTGTTCCCCCAGGGCATCTCCCTGCTGATGGTGGTGCACAACACGCTGGAGCTGCTCGTCGGCATCAAGGCCCTGCCCGCGTCCCCACAAGTTCGGGTGAGTGCTTCCTGAGCACTGCCAAATGCCGCACTCGGAGCTCCTTGTAATCCCACGTTAGCCTTGCTTTATCTAAAAGGTCATCCAGGATTCAATTGGAAACCCGCGAAATTTTTTTGAAAGAACATTTGAGTTTATTACGGTGAAATATATCATATATGATGGTATAATGCGCAAATGTAGACATCTTTCTTTAAACATTGGGGAATCTCTAGCGTTGTGTGAATGTTCGAATAATATGCTATACAATATTCGCTTCAAAATGAACTGGAATAGTATTCATATTTTTACCAGTCTTGATTGCAGGAGTTTAGCCCTGCTGAGCGCACTTCTTACTAAGCACCGGTGCACTGCGGGGAAGTAACACTTGTAAAGGTTGCTTCCGCCACAGCCGTATATAGGGAGAGTTTGGTCAATGAAAGGAGCGGGCAGAGCCCGGGCATGCACCAGACACAGAAAGAGGGCTTGACATTCTCTCTTGGCCAAAAAGAAGCCGAGAAGAATTCCCTACCGGTGGTAGCGAGAAATAGTTTTGATGAGCGCGTAAGAGTTAAACGTAGTAACTCTTCATGGTTGAAAATATGCTGCACGTGATGTTTCGATTATGATCGTGCAAGACCACGTAAGAATCAAATGTGCCGCTTGAACTCTGTTTTGCTCGGACGGAGACTGACCGCTTGGACGGAAGATTCCCGGTTTTCGGCGCCTGGCGTACGGATTACGTCAATTATTCCGCTAGATTTTTCTTTGGCAGGACCGTGATCATCACGTGCACCATATTTTTAGTCACCGAGAGTTACTCCGACGCACTCGTTAATTTTGTTTCTCACGACCACCGCCAGGGTATTATTCGCAGCTTCTGGCTGACCACGGTCAAATTTGTGGAGATGCCCTAGAACACGCCCAGCCTACTTTTGATGAATAGCGCCTCATTTGTTTCCTATACTTCCCAATATATGGCCAAACTCTCTCTATGGACGGCTCTGGCTTCCGCGGGTGTGGCTTCTGCGCAGGGCAGCATTGCTCGATGAGAGGCGCACTCAACGGGGCTGATCAACACTTGGAAAAGTAGAAATATCTCAGGCGCATGCTTAGAAGGAAAGATTGTTTCTCATGTGGTGTGGTGCATGTGCACGCCGGGTGTATTTGAAAATAAATGGAAACTTTTTGAACATTGCAGTAAAATTTTTAAAATTAATCTCCGACTGTTACGCGAGAGTATGTGTTAGGCAGAGATGTCCCGACAACCTGCGTTCATTGTGTGCGGTTCAAATTCCAGATTGGAAAAAGAATATATAGCGAGATTCTTAAAATCACTCAATTGGCATCTGGACCAATGGGTGTACGAGCACAAGCAGCACACAAGTAAACGTGGCTCTGACAGGCTCTTAACGGCACGTGCTTGTACGCACAGGCAAAAGCTTGGGAGTCTGTTGCCTTTTGTTTCTTCTCTCATTGAGTTTCCCAGAAAACTGCTTGAGGTAGAAAAAATGGGCCGGAATTTTCCCCGAGAGGGGAGCTTCTCTTTGAATGCTCGGTTGTCGGATGGTTTCGTGGAAAGGTTTTATGGCCACGCGGTCGAAAGTGTCTGTTGGCGCACCACTTTTGCTGGCATTCGCACAGTAGCCTGGCTTGCCGATTGGGCAAGGCCCGTTGCGACCTCAAGGTTAGGCACCCCTCGAGCGCAAACTGTTTGCAAGGATTACGGCTTTGCTTTTGCCCCCTGGCTGTGTCCGCTTTAGTTCCGGCGTGCTCCAGCAAACAAAATGAACTCCCTAATCCAATCCCATCTACTTGGTCAAAAAAATGTTGTCCACGAAACGTTGGAGAAGCGTGTGTCCACGAAAGCTGGCAGTGTTGACGAAATGTGTGTGGATGAAATGCGAGGCAAGGAATGTGACCAGCTGCTGAAGGTGGCCGCTCTGGCTTGCAGCAGTTCTCGCTGGGCATCAGCTCCCTCTCGGCCTTGGGCATCTTTGGCTCGGCCCTGGAGGTGGTGCTCATCTTGTATCCTTTGCCCCCAGAGGGCCTTCCGTGCCGCCAGGGGGACCTCCTGGCGCTCTTCCACACGCCTTTGGGGCTTGTGGTGCTCCAGGTTCACAACTTGCAAACCATTTCTTTACGCAAATTGATTTAAATAATGACTCGCTTCAAAAATAGTTTTTTTTTTTGTGTGTGTGAAACTATGGTTAAAAAGTTTAAAATGCATTCTAGTTTAATTAGCCAACTGATGTGCAGGCTATTCCCCGCCGCCCAGTTTGATAGACAAGGAATATCTGTGTCTGTATCGATTAAGAAAAACCCTTGATAGGGTGTTTGCTGATCACAAGCATTTGGCTTAATGTTCAAAACACTCGAGGCACGGTAGTTGCCATATAGATTATGGTGGTAACGCTAGAAACCGGTTTCTGGCACGTTTGCTAGTGCCGCCAAGTGTCGGAGGGTGGTTACGCCGAGAACGAGCCGTGGCATGCAAATGCATCGTCTCGAAGCTCTCGTGCGCGGCTGAACGCTTGCATCGAGGGAAACTGAGAGAAGTACAGTCGTGTCTCATTGATACGGGCACCTCTGTTCCCCCCAGAAATCGTCCATAATAACAAGACAAAAATATGCACATTTTCCCAGTTTGTCCCAAAATATGGTGTCCATATGGCGGGGTATTCATATTATTGGGGTTGTGAGGAGGTTGAGTATTTGGAGTTAATCTCTCTGTCGATACAGTCAAACCTCGATGTAACAAACTTCTATGTAACGAAACCCCGATGTAAATTAAGTACATAACTTTTTCTAACCGCTAGTGTATGCACGCCATGTATTTTTGACCTCTATGTAACAAAGTCCCGTTTGCCGAAATTTCGATGTAACAAAATTTCGTGGACAATTTGTCACAAACTTTTGGGTCCCAAAGAAGATTTTGGGAGGCACATGCGCTGAAATAAGCCCTCGATAAAACTCAAAGGGTGAAACTGGCCGAATCTGGCGAGTGTGGTGTACAGAACGGCTACTAGAGGACACTAGAGCCGCCGCCGTTTTGTCCGTCGGCTTCGTTCGCGCCGAGTAGTTTGCTTCGAGGCCTAACTAAAAGCCCATGTTTCTCGTTGTCCTGGGCGATGGAGCCTCGAAGGCGATGGAGCCGCCCCTGACAACGTCGATTACGACGACTTTCTATACGCCGACTCTGCTGTCATTGCGACGGAAAAGGTGACCGACGAGGCGATAGCTAGCGATGTTCGTGGGAACTTTCAAGACGGGGACGACATGGAGCCTGATGAGCAAGACGCCTGCGATGTGCCCAGTAACCGTGAGGTGGTGGACGCGATCGATGTCTTGAGGCGGTTCGCGATCACACAGCAAGACGAAGACGCATTGCAGGCCGTCTGGCTATACGAACGTCGTGTGATGCCAATAATAATGCCAAGAGTGGCTCAGAGAAAGGTCAACCGAAATACAGGCATCCTCTGTGAGTTTTGTTCACCCGAGAAACATGTGTGAAACTTTCTTTAACGTTAGCCTCGAATTTCTATGTAGCAAAATTTCAATGTAACGAAGTAAATTCCGAATTTTACCGACTTCATTACATTCAGGTTTGACTGTACATGAAATTATTGATGCGGCAAGTACTGTTTTTGTACGAGTTTTACTAGTTACGTTGAAAAACAATAGTGAAACGAATCCAAGGAAAAGCATGAAATATGTTATGGGATACACAATTCGAGTAGGGTAGTCATAAAACAACTATTTGATGTGCTTCGGAATATTAAATGCGAGTCTCGAGTCAAATAAGCTAGTGGAGGTTAGAGGGAAACAAATTGCAGAAGTGTTGTAAGTTGGGCGAGGGCGAGCGCTAGTGTGTTGTGCATGTTCCTTTTTTCTGTCCGTCTTTTTGTGCGCTGTTCTGTTCACCATGTCAGTGTGAAACACTTCACTTCACCTGGCAACGACGGTGATGACGTCGTGGCAATGATGTGGTGGAGATGTCTTCCATAGGCGGTGCAGCCGCCGCTGGGAGTTATCCGTGACAACGGAACATTGTCTTCATGATACGGCCCAGTTTTCCCTCGCAGTTGCGCCCAGTCTTGTCCCAGTCTTGTCTGTCTGTGTCAACGGCTCCTAGGAAGACTTTCCCCAGCCAGCTTTCATCCTCGAGTTTATTTCATCGCAATCCAGCGATCAAAATACCCTTCTAGATGGGCTGCGAACTGGCCTCCGGTCTCTCTATTCTGTGGTTTGCAGGAGCGAAACTTTTCCCTGTAATCCTCGGCTGTAAATCGGAACCGCTGAAGTGGGGCACGCTTTGTGCACTTGTAATCTATAGCAACTCCCCTGGAGAAAGTCGTCCAGAAACGCAGAGTACTTCACTTACGATCAAAATACCCTTCTAGATGGGCTGCGAACTGGCCTCCGGTCTCTCTATTCTGTGGTTTGCAGGAGCGAAACTTTTCCCTGTAATCCTCGGCTGTAAATTGGAACCGCTGAAGTGGGGCACGCTTTGTGCACTTGTAATCTATAGCAACTCCCCTGGAGAAAGTCGTCCAAAAACGCAGAGTACTTCACTTACGATCAAAATACCCTTCTAGATGGGCTGCGAACTGGCCTCCGGTCTCTCTATTCTGTGGTTTGCAGGAGCGAAACTTTTCCCTGTAATCCTCGGCTGTAAATCGGAACCGCTGAAGTGGGGCACGCTTTGTGCACTTGTAATCTATAGCAACTCCCCTGGAGAAAGTCGTCCAAAAACGCAGAGTACTTCACTTACGATCAAAATACCCTTCTAGATGGGCTGCGAACTGGCCTCCGGTCTCTCTATTCTGTGGTTTGCAGGAGCGAAACTTTTCCCTGTAATCCTCGGCTGTAAATCGGAACCGCTGAAGTGGGGCACGCTTTGTGCACTTGTAATCTATAGCAACTCCCCTGGAGAAAGTCGTCCAAAAACGCAGAGTACTTCACTTACGATCAAAATACCCTTCTAGATGGGCTGCGAACTGGCCTCCGGTCTCTCTATTCTGTGGTTTGCAGGAGCGAAACTTTTCCCTGTAATCCTCGGCTGTAAATCGGAACGGCTGAAGTGGGGCACGCTTTGTGCACTTGTAATCTATAGCAACTCCCCTGGAGAAAGTCGTCCAAAAACGCAGAGTACTTCACTTACGATCAAAATACCCTTCTAGATGGGCTGCGAACTGGCCTCCGGTCTCTCTATTCTGTGGTTTGCAGGAGCGAAACTTTTCCCTGTAATCCTCGGCTGTAAATCGGAACCGCTGAAGTGGGGCACGCTTTGTGCACTTGTAATCTATAGCAACTCCCCTGGACAAAGTCGTCCAAAAACGCAGAGTACTTCACTTACGATCAAAATACCCTTCTAGATGGGCTGCGAACTGGCCTCCAGTCTCTCTATTCTGGGATTTGCAGGAGCGAAACTTTTCCCTGTAATCCTCGGCTGTAAATCGGAACCGCTGAAGTGGGGCACGCTTTGTGCACTTGTAATCTATAGCAACTCCCCTGGAGAAAGTCGTCCAGAAACGCAGAGTACTTCACTTACGATCAAAATACCCTTCTAGATGGGCTGCGAACTGGCCTCCGGTCTCTCTATTCTGTGGTTTGCAGGAGCGAAACTTTTCCCTGTAATCCTCGGCTGTAAATCGGAACCGCTGAAGTGGGGCACGCTTTGTGCACTTGTAATCTATAGCAACTCCCCTGGAGAAAGTCGTCCAAAAACGCAGAGTACTTCACTTACGATCAAAATACCCTTCTAGATGGGCTGCGAACTGGCCTCCGGTCTCTCTATTCTGTGGTTTGCAGGAGCGAAACTTTTCCCTGTAATCCTCGGCTGTAAATCGGAACCGCTGAAGTGGGGCACGCTTTGTGCACTTGTAATCTATAGCAACTCCCCTGGAGAAAGTCGTCCAGAAACGCAGAGTACTTCACTTACGATCAAAATACCCTTCTAGATGGGCTGCGAACTGGCCTCCGGTCTCTCTATTCTGTGGTTTGCAGGAGCGAAACTTTTCCCTGTAATCCTCGGCTGTAAATTGGAACCGCTGAAGTGGGGCACGCTTTGTGCACTTGTAATCTATAGCAACTCCCCTGGAGAAAGTCGTCCAAAAACGCAGAGTACTTCACTTACGATCAAAATACCCTTCTAGATGGGCTGCGAACTGGCCTCCGGTCTCTCTATTCTGTGGTTTGCAGGAGCGAAACTTTTCCCTGTAATCCTCGGCTGTAAATCGGAACCGCTGAAGTGGGGCACGCTTTGTGCACTTGTAATCTATAGCAACTCCCCTGGAGAAAGTCGTCCAAAAACGCAGAGTACTTCACTTACGATCAAAATACCCTTCTAGATGGGCTGCGAACTGGCCTCCGGTCCCTCTATTCTGTGGTTTGCAGGAGCGAAACTTTTCCCTGTAATCCTCGGCTGTAAATCGGAACCGCTGAAGTGGGGCACGCTTTGTGCACTTGTAATCTATAGCAACTCCCCTGGAGAAAGTCGTCCAAAAACGCAGAGTACTTCACTTACGATCAAAATACCCTTCTAGATGGGCTGCGAACTGGCCTCCGGTCTCTCTATTCTGTGGTTTGCAGGAGCGAAACTTTTCCCTGTAATCCTCGGCTGTAAATCGGAACCGCTGAAGTGGGGCACGCTTTGTGCACTTGTAATCTATAGCAACTCCCCTGGAGAAAGTCGTCCAAAAACGCAGAGTACTTCACTTACGATCAAAATACCCTTCTAGATGGGCTGCGAACTGGCCTCCGGTCTCTCTATTCTGTGATTTGCAGGAGCGAAACTTTTCCCTGTAATCCTCGGCTGTAAATCGGAACCGCTGAAGTGGGGCACGCTTTGTGCACTTGTAATCTATAGCAACTCCCCTGGAGAAAGTCGTCCAGAAACGCAGAGTACTTCACTTACGATCAAAATACCCTTCTAGATGGGCTGCGAACTGGCCTCCGGTCTCTCTATTCTGTGGTTTGCAGGAGCGAAACTTTTCCCTGTAATCCTCGGCTGTAAATCGGAACCG